TTCAATTTCAAATGCCAATATCCCACGACAAGCAAACAAGTTCAGAGGCGGCATGTTCAATTATGTCCCTAATCTATGTCACATGTGGAAGATGTCTGTACAGGGTCTCCTATGTCCACCAACCTACGTCCCCGGAGAAGAAATTGTTCGTGCAAGAATAGGAGATGCTGGTCCATCAGGCAACCCAGCCAAGTCATTGTCGTTTATCCAGCCCCGCAAGGTGCCGAGGGCAGGTAATCATTTTCTCTCTCTCTCCCTCTCTCTCTCTCTCTCTCTCTCTCTCTCTCTCTCTGTTTCTTTCTCTTTTTGATATGATGTCATGCCACGAACCGAAAAAAAAAGGCGGGTCAAAGCAGAAGCTCCCCCCCTTTTAACCGAGGAGGCCGCTGAGGAGGGAGTCAGCGCTGGGGTCGGTGCCGAGGTTGAGGTCGAGGTCGAGGATCTTCTTGTCGGCGATGAAGAGGCAGTTGTCGACCTCGACGCCGCGCTTCAGGGAGACGCCGGCGCAGTCGTAGATCTCGCCGAGGTCAATGGTCAGCCGGAGGGCCTCGGCCTCGCAGCGGGCCAGGCAGTCGTTGAGGTCGTCGGCGGTGGTCTCGGTGGCGTCGGGGCTCTGGATGGTCTGGCCGCACTTGACGTCGAACTGGCGGTCAAAGTCGGAGCGGACGCTCTCGCGGGCGGCGTCGGCGTCCTTGCTGTCCTTCTTGCTGCCGAGCAGGCCGCCGAGGAGGTTGCCGAGGGTGTTGCCGAGGTCGTCGACGAGGCCGCCGAGAACGTCGCCGAGAGTGCCGCCGATGAGAAGGTTGAGGTCGAGGCCGAGGATGTCGGCGAGCACAGTGATGTCCTCGCCAGTGAAGAGGTCGAGGTCGACGAGGTCGAGAAGGTTCAGGGAGAGAGTGGGCTTGCGGCAGACCTCGGGCTGCTCGCCGCCGTTGTCACCACCGTTGTCACCACCGTTGTCACCGCCCTCAGGGTAGCCGCCGTTGTTGCCACCGCCGGGGGTAGTAGGCACAGTGGGGACGGTCGGGGCCGTGGGGACGACGGGGTAAGTGGGGACGACGGGAACGGTAGGCACCGTGGGGGCAGTAGGCACGACGGGGTAAGTGGGGACGGTGGGGGGCTTGACGACGGGAGGCTTAACGACGGGAGGCTTGACGACGGGGGGGACGCCGCCGTCGCCCTCACCAGGCTTGGTGGGGGTGATGTAGATGTAGTCGGGCTTGGGCTCGACGTGGTAGTTGCCGCCGCCAATGATGATCTCGACACCGGCACCACAGCCCTCGATCTTGGCCGAGATGTCAATCTTGCAGGTGCCGGGGAAGGACTCGACACCGCGAGCAGCGAGGATGGGAGCGAGAGACATCTTGTCGGTTGGTTGGGTGGGCGTGGATTAGATGGTGTAATTAGGCGGGATAGTATGTTCCGAAGAAGGTGAGTATTGTGTATGAACGAGTGACTGTTTGTATGTGCGGTGAACGACTGGATGCGAGAAAAAGTTCTTGCTGTGATGAAGCTGATGCTGGATGAGGAGAGAGAAGAAGACTGCTGATGACAGGATGGAGGGATGGTATTTTATAAGAAATCCGATGTGACGATCGACTGACTGCAACCTCACATGTCTGTTTCCTCTCCATGCCTCGCCTGTTCCCATGCTGCTCTCAACGTGACTCGGATGCCATGCCGCCCCTGAGCCTCCTGCGCGGGTCTCAGACGATAATCTGGCACGCTAAGGTGAACCATCAGACCATCCGTCCCAACGCCCTGCGCCGAAACAGAAACCTTCCTCCCTTCTCACCAGAAAAGGGGGGACTGGGGGCCACGATGTCTCTCGTCAAGATCTCCGGGCATACGACTTTCACGAGAGCCGCCCACCCGTCCGCCGCCTCGGCGGAGCCTCGAAGCCTCGCAGCGCAGGGCCCAAGAGCACTGGGCGCAAGTAGGCAAGGCAAGGTCGTTCACGACAGAAGAAAAGAGTTCGCCATGCCAATAACCCAACAGAGTGTGTCATTATGAGCCCCAATCTTGGAAACCAAGCCACCAAATCACCCCAGTTAAGCATATCAAGCCACTCCAGACGTCCCTTTTCGACCCCTAAGGCCTCTGGGCGATAAACCCCACCAAGCCGCCTTCGGAATCTCTCTTCTCTCTCCCACAGACTGCCGATCAAGGGGTGGAAACCCTCTCAACGCCGGCACCTCTCAGCCCAGACGCAAAGCCCAGCCCAGCCCACCGCAACGCCCGTGCAAGACAGTTGACAGATAATTACCGACCGACAGGCCCTCTCAGCCACAGACGTGCACGCACCGCATCGCCTCGGCAGTACGGGGGGGGCCCTGGTCAAGTCTGCCTGCCGCGGGCTGTTCTGGCAGTTGCCTCCCTTGGCTCGACGAGCGTCAGGCCAATAGAGAGAGGAAACCCCAAAAAGAGAAGGAAAAAAAAGCAAACTAGATGACCCGCCGTATCATCAGCCGTCAACACGGGACAGACAGCGACGTTCGTCCCTGCAGGGGACCTGACTCGGGTGCCGTGAGACATACGGGCAAAGAGCCTCCTCCTAATTTTCCTAGCGTGCGTTCAGCCCAGGCAAGGGGGGAAGAAGAGGGACTAGTTCGGTCTTCCCTGGCCCTATCCCCGGCCTGGCACCGAAGATCCCGGAAGACCGGACAAAGATACCGGAGTCCGGGGGTTCCCTCAGAACTGGACCCTGCCCCCCCCCGTCGTCATGAGATTACGTAGAAGGCGACCATCACGCGAACCTCGCAATATCAGCCGCACTCGAAACCAGAACTCTCCACTCCTCGTCCTGCCGATTGCAATTTCCCCCTTCTCGATCCGATCGTAGGAAACTTGAACTGGTATCCCCGCAATCGTCCGCGGCAAGAAAGGAGAGAAGGAAAAAAAAAGAAAAAATACAATACCAATCAGGAGATTGTTCATCCACCTTTGGCCCCGACCCTCATCAAATGTAGACCCAAAACCCTGTCTCACCCGCTCGACCCAAGACCGCCCAACACCCATCCGGGAAATCGTCTCATGAACCGACTGAACCCCTTCAACGCCCCGCGTCGGCCATGTCTCTGCTGTCATGGGCCATTTTGTGGGGAACACAGCGCGCGCGAACGCAACGCGAGTAGTGCGTGAACACAGAGGTAGGTAGGGCCGCCTGAACAAGCAACGATCGGGGTCGAAAGGGAGGGCCAGCGCGCGCGCGTGCTCGGACAGACTGACAGACACACGCACTCTCGTGTCGGTCGTCGGGCATCCATGATATTGGAAGTGTCCCCATGCATGCAGGTGCAGCAAGCAAAAGACTCACATCTCTTTCGAGACACAATGGCCGGACCTGTCTCTCTGTCGCTCACTCTTGTACACCCACCGCACGCACTTCAACGCCCACCGGACCGGACCAGTGGCTTGGGCGCTGTTAATTAGTCTGCTTTTAGGTATAGCGCCCCTGAGGCCCCTCAGCTCAGGCACTCTTGGCTTGCAACAGCCCAATCTCACATGACAACATCGGCAGACATGTACACGGAACAAGAAAACATGGAAGAAATGGAATCTGTTTCCTAAGTTACCATAACTCCTCGCGATGGATGCATAGTCCCAGGCGACCTCGCCACTGCTCGACCGCAGCATGAGCCGACGAAGCTCGGTCTAATCTTAGTGCCAGAGTGGAAATCGATAGGCGGCGCGAAAAAGAGAAGAAACGACAAACGAATGACCAGCAGGAAATAGCAAAACAAGAAACCGCTCCATGACCACGTAGTTTGTGCACCCTGAATCATCCCACCGCCGTATTGCGTTGCCCGTCGAGCCTAGAGTTGCGCAATATCCTCCTAGACCTGTTGTTGATGAGACAGTGCCGATGTGGACCAACTGTCCGTGTCAGGCCGAACCACACCTCTCCCGGAACTCCCACAAATCTAGATTGATTCGTATCCTCCCCATATAGGCTTGCTCTGCATACTTCTTCGCCGTCACGGCGTTCGAGTTGACCTTGGAGGCCTATTCCTGTGAACGGGATCGAACAATCTATGCTCCGGTAACCTCAGCCAGAGGATGCTTCGCACGGCGTCCGAGCAATGTCGCGCCGTCGAGGTTCAACTCGAAAGCGCCCTTCTGTCGGTTGCGATCCCGCACCTGCTGTCGAGCAGCCGCCGTCACAGCCGGCGAGTGCTGGCCGTATCCCTTCTCGGTCGGAGCGTGCCTCTCACGCTCGCGACCGCGCTCCCTCTCCTTCTGATCCCTGATGTGGGCGTTTCGCATGCTCTGCTCGAGAGCCTGTGTGCCCTGTGTGGGCTTGTGGACGTATTCGGCGTCCTTGGCGTCGGTCATTTGGCTGTCCTCGTCTTCGGACTCTTCATTCAAGCCGGCCAGTGCAGTCGCCTCGCCCGCCTTGACTCCCATTTGCTTGCGTCGCTTCGCCTCTTCCTCTTGCCTGTGGACGGCGTAACCGACATCAAAGACCTCGCGCAGGTTGACGGCGCCAGGTGAGCGGAAGTCGTAGCGCTGAGCGCCCTCGCCGAAGCGTGACGGGTCGAAAGCACGAAGCGGCTCGACGCTCGGCGGTCGCTCATCGCGCGGCGTGGGGCCGGACCCGCGGATCCAAGGGTGGGCGAGGAACTCGGTAATGGTGAACCTCTTCTCGGGATCCACAGCCAGAAGATGGGAAATGAGATCTTGTGCGCTCTTCGAGATATCATCCCACCACGGTGACAGGAACGTGAACTGTCCCTTGGCCACCTTCTCGGTCAACACCTCGATGCTCTCGTCGTAGAAAGGGGGGAAACCGCAGAGCAGCGTGTATAGGACACAGCCGAGGGCCCACATGTCCACAGACTTGGAGTATCGCTCATCCTTGACGATCTCTGGCGCGGTGTAGCCGACGGTGCCGCAAGGCGTCATGGTCTGGGTGTCCCACACAACCTTGGAGAGGCCAAAGTCGGCGATCTTGATGCGGCCGATGCCACCAGCGCCATAGCCAGGAATAAACTCGCCCTCATCCACCTTGTCTTCGTCACCGGGCTGCTTGGGCTTGGGGGTCTTGGACGGAACGAAGGGCACAGGCTCAAACAGAATGTTCTCAGGCTTGATATCCCTGCGATTGAGCTCATGTCAGCACACCATTGACGCAGGGTATCGGGCATGACGTCAGATGCAAGCAGAAGACTGGGACATGACGTCTCACTTGTGGCTTCGCCACGGAGCAACAACGTGGCAAAGAGGGCGCGATGCGCTGGGGAGAATGTGGAGAATCGCGTGTGATGAGCACGAAAGTACATACCTGTGAACAACACCTCGTTCCTCGTGGAGATACTCGAGCGCCTTGGCAACCTGCACGATGACATGCCTTGAGAGCTCTTCGCTGAAGTAGGTGAGGCGAACAATCTGATGGAAGAGCTCGCCACCCGGGGCTAGCTCGAGGATGATGTAGTAATACTGGCGGGACTCGGAAAAGTCGATGAGCTTGATAATGTTGGGATGGTCAAGTTGGCGCATGATCTGGACTTCCTTGAGGATATTCGCCCTCTGTTTGTGGGATTAGTCATGATATTCGTGACCTTGGAGGCATCCCCTGGAGAAAAGGAAAAGAAATAATGACAGGCTGGGTCAAAGCAACAGTAGTCATGGTGGGGATGCCTCGCTAGATGGAAAGAAACGTAAGGAGATAAGAGAGATTTTCTCGCACCTCTGCAGCTTTGGGGACTTTCTTGAAGTCTGGGTGTAAATGGTCGTTTCCCTAATTGCGCCCCCAAGGTTGGTATGTGAAGAAGAAGAAGAAACGCACAAAAACAAACTCAAGACGACGCGGCGAGCAAGAAAGCAAATAATCAAGGCCCCGCAGGCAACCTTCAACGTTTTCAAACTCACCTGCATGCTGTTCATTTCGTACTTGCGGACGACCTTGATGCCGACCTCGCCGTGCTCACCCGTGGTGTCGCGGGCTCGGTAGACATTGCTGAAGGCGCCGTCGCCCATCTTCTCGAGGAGAACCCATCGCTCGAGCCCGGGGTACTTAGGGAACTTGCCGCGGGTCTCGTTTTCCTCAGCGACCAACTTGGCGATCTCGGCACTGTCGACCTGCTTCTTGACCTTGACCTTCTGCTGGGGCTCGACGGCGTGAGCTGCGGCGTGACCGGCTTTGGCGACGCGGTTCTGGTCGCCGGCGGGTCCTACAGAGTACGCGTCGGCCATGGGGGCGTGTGCTGGTTGGGCAGTGAAGCCGGGTTCGGTCTGGGCGGGCGCGGCGGGAGCTCGTGGGGGGGATGAGTTGTTCTTTTGCTGGGCTTCATCGTAGTTATTCGTGCGGGCTTGCTTTCCTGTGGACGAGAAGAAAAGGGAGAACGGGTCAGTACAGTTCCACAAGAATGATGGTTGAGACAAATGACATGGTGGGCAGGACTCTGTGGCGCGTGGAGCCCGGATCTGCTGTCGTCGTGGTTGCTCATCGCCCAAAATATGTAGAGAGCGGGGAAGAGGGGGAAAGAGGGGAGGGGGGGTGGAGGGACGGTTTGGCGGGAGACGGCATACCATGTCGGATGAAGTTCTTAAGTTGTTGTATCGTCGACATGATGGCGGTTTGTGCGCCTGTAGAAGGCTGTACTTGCGGGCTCAGAAGAAGTAGTCGTCGTTATTCGGTCGCCAGGAGGGACGCTGCGATGGCGATGCCTGATGAACGAACGGCTGCGACAGGGCACCGCGCTGCTTGGGTTTTCAGGCCTCGTGTGTTCTGGAGGGGCTGCGAAAGAGGAAGAAACAATTGACCTCGAACAAAGACAAGAATGTTGGGGCGCAAGAGGCGACAATGCAGTGAAGCGACGGATCGGAGGTCAGAAATGGCACGGCGAGAATGAGTCGGTTCGGGACGGAAGAGAGAGGTTAATGTGGGATAGGCGATCAGAGAGGGACAGTGAGGGGAGGTATGAGTCGGGGGGAGGAGACGAGAGGATAGAAACAAAGTGCAAGAGTCAAGGACGGCCGGCAGCTGTGGCTGGTGAAGGTCGAAGTGGAGTTGTATCGTGGATGCAATGGCGGGCGGGACAGCCGAACGGATGACGAAATAGGCGAACTGTAGGTAGGTACAGGGCAAAGGCAGTGACGCATGGGCTGTGCGTGTGCTCCAGGGAGTCCCTCGCGGTGGGGCGAGCTCATTTGTGGGGGCCTTCTGTGTTTCTTTACCACGCAGCAGCACACGGATACGTAGAGTACCATGGACACGGTAATTTCAGGCCGCAGTCAATCAATCAGGGAATCCTGGAGGCCAAGATGAATCGAGGCTCTCGTTCAGCGTCCCTCGGGTCGTGGTGGATGCAGATGACGAGCGGGCAGAGGACGAGACGAAGCAAGATCTGCTCGAGCGGACAACAAGCTGCGCACGCCGCTGAGTGGTCAGGGCGGCCGCAGAGCCGGGGTACCTTACTTGACCCTTCACTTAGGTCGGTGCCTTGAGGCAGGCACTTGCCCAGGCACCTACTAGGGACTACAGGGGCAAGGCGTCTCTGCCGTACCCAAAAAGCGTAAATAGCCTCCAATCTGATTCTCAGCCATGCGACCCAAGATGCTGTGACATTGATCCTACGCTCTGCCAGGTAAGTCATGGGCGATATGACAGAAAATGGAATGGATGGGCAGGGGGGGTTAGGGATGCTCGTCTCATGGAATGTCAGGGGGGTACTGTACACGATGAGCAGGGTGCTGTGGCTTGAACGACTGAACGAAGCCGTACTGCCGCCAAGAAACTGCGAGTTACTGGACCAGGACACCAATCTTTCCAAGCCATGCTTTCAGCCCGCTTGTTTCATCATTGCTTTCATCATCATCATCATCATCATATCAGTGCCCAAAACTGACGTAGGCGATGGCCATTCTTTGCCTTTGGTGCTTCAGCAGGCTTCATCACTGGGCAGGCAGGCAGGCTCGATCTCTGCCCCAGGGCTCCAGCAAGTCGATTCAAACCACCCAACCTGCCTCGCTGTCATTCCTCACTCAGAGGCATACCGAAAGACCCAACAACGCCGGAAGCAGGCGGGCAAAGTCATATGCTACGCCGCACAGGGCCATCCGTGACCAAGCGAGCCATGAAAAGGGCGCACCTTTTCGCTCGTTCTTTTCACCTGCTGCTGCTCGTCGCGCCCATCGGCTCGCACCCCACCTTGGGCTGTCTTGGTTGGAGGGGTTTTCTCCATCATGACGTAGCGAGCAGCGTCATTCCTGCAGATTCAGGGTCCCCCGTCATTTTACCTGCATGATCCGCTCCGCCCGCTCTCATTTCGACAAGTCTCTGTGCTGTGCAGACAGAGAGATTGTCGTCGTATTCCAGCCATCCAGTCCCGCCAGCGCAAGCTATGGACATGCAGAAGCACCAAACAAATGCACTGCACTTTTCTTCCGCTCTACAATCGCAAAACAAAAACGAAAAGACTGACGCCTGGCTGCATCGATCCGTAACATGGGCAGAAGGGGGGAGGGGCCGACCGCTCCGACAGACGCCACACACCGCACCTCGCGTCCCCGTCGCGCCTGCTTCTTGGCCTGCGTCGCTCCGAGGCTGAGCGTCAAGTGACCTCATCCCCTTCTCGCTGACGAATCCGTTCATCGTTGTTGGGGGGCCCAGTCTATCTCTCTATGTCCTCGTAGCCCAGCTTGCCCAGTAGTAGTTCCGCTGACGACAGGGACGGGATCATCACGTCGACCGACCATCGACAATCGCTCACAAGCCTAGCCACGTGCGAAACATCGGCCTCCCACTTTATCCCTCCTCTGACAGCTCCTCCAGCGCAGCGTTCTAGGCCCGGCCAGCGCTGGCCAGCCCTGACCCCGTCTGACGCCTGCACCGTGAAGCCGCATTGGCGCTAGCCTGTGTTCGCTTCGTACCCCAAAATCCCAATTCCACCCCCAACAATTCCGCGCCGAGATCACGGTTCACCCACGCGGTTCGCCCACGCCGGGTGACCTGCCGAAACCCACCCTCTCCAGACTTTGAATCGCAGTATTACCTACCTACGTGGGACAAGAAGCTCATTGCCTTTTTTCCTCATGTTCGAGTCAGTTCCACACTGCTTCAGGAAAGCTTCCGTTGCCATCGACAACTGGCACAGTCCACAGTCCCCAACGGCTGCAGTGTCCACAGTCTTGAAATCTTGAAGAGGCGCGCGCGCGGTCAAGTCAGATGTGGGCACATGGTCTGACACAAGATTCAGCCCAGCAGATGAGCGACAGGCCAGCATGCACGGGGGCCCGCCTGCATCATCTGCCAAACCATCGAAACATGCATCTCCATCTCCTGCACGAGGGAACACGCGCCGCTCGTCACTTGTCACGGTAGACACTTTACCTTGCTGTAGAAACCAATTGTCAAAAACGCGCCTTCGCCCCTGACCCCTGACGCTACTATCTATCCATTCCTTCGTCACATGACGTCACACATAACCTCGTCATTATCGAAAATAAATCAGGACGCTTCGTCGCGCGCGCGCTTGAACGCCACGTAGTTGCATTGCGAGCGCCACATTGGCGATTGCTTCGAGCTAAGTTCCAGTCTTAGGGGACTTTTTTTGATGAATTTCTGGGCTTCGTTTCGAGAGAACACGGCGGGGCTTGGGTCGTGGCCATCCTGCCTGCGTCCTGGTACCTGGTGATGGATCCTGCTCCTGATGCAGACCATGCCTTAACAGACATCTAAATGCGCCAATGGTCTATCCCACGTAGTCATTAGGTCTCACGTGATTATCATACTCGAAGCTTTATTCTGGGACCTGCATCAATGTTTACATGAGAGAGTCAAACAACATGATGGACTGAGTCACACCCGCTGCTCCCACACACCTTTACCGCAAACCATAGTCGATCCAGCCCTTGGCATCCCGCAGTGGTGCCAGCTAGGGCTGTGGGGAAGACAGAGGTGACGAGGAAGAAGAATTAGGCGTATTGTCAACCCAACAAGAGTCGATGTACTGATTAAGCATCGAAGTGGTGGCGCGATAGCCACCTGTGTCGGGAGATACAGTAGTAACCATGTCCTGGCCGCCTGCTTCGAATGCTGTAGTTTCAACGTTGCCGTAGTCTTCTGTGGCGGGAGATGTAGTATCAACTATGCCGGATTCGTTCGTCATAGGAGATGTAAGGTCGAAGATGCTGTGGCCGTGAAGACCGGGAGACACAGTGGTGGAAGGCGTGGCGTCAGCAACGCCGGAGTCCAATGCTTCCTCCAGGTTCCTCTGGTCCTCAACGGCAGCCCAATCCACTTGCGGACCAGCCAGCGCGGTAAGGCAGCTTTCAAAGGACGCCAGAAATCCGGCATCTCGTAGAGCGTTCAACAGCTGCCTCGTCATGGGGCGCTTTTGCAGGTCCTCCCACTCCTCGTTGTTCGGGATCAGTACGAACGGACACACGTAGTCCGGGGGCACGATTCCGCGCCCCGCCGGCGGCTTCTCCAGCATGTCGGACATGTCTATATGCTTGGTGCCATCCAGGTATTCGTGGATGTCGATGTCGTCGGGAAAGCATGCCCAGCCCCTGAAGAGCTCCGGGCGCGTTTTGGCATAGTCGATGACCATGGTCTGCGACGCTCGCGGCACTACCCTCGCACCAGGCAACATTCCGCCGAGCACCTTCTAGTTCATGGTTCGGACAGCGTGGTCATAGATGCATTCTTTGCAGATGTACATGTCGTTTGCAGGCGCGATGTCGCGCCCCCAGATGTACTCGGTTAGATACCATGATTTATTGCTGACGGTGAAGCCCGGGCACGACCCCCACATCCCGTTCGTGGAGTTGATGCATGTCATGTCATAGACTATCAGGCTGGACGCGTAGGCTCGATTGCTTAGATGCTCGGTGTGAATCGTGATGTGCTTTGCGCAACGCGAGCAGCAGGGCTCATTGAAGCAGGTCCAACACATTGGTGCCAGGCTGGTGATTGCGGGTGTGGATGGAAATGTTCGTTGGGCGTCTTTATATGGGCAGAGTCGGCTGCATGGGCATTCGGCTCGGTGGTAGTTTGATATAGAAGATCATGCAACCGCATGTAGATGCTGGTGCTGGGTGTATTCTTGTCAATAGTTGCAGCAACGAAGTGCCATGGTAAGTGGTGTTCGTATAAAGGTTCGCCAGTTGCGGAGCAGCAGCCAGATAGACACTGAATCCCGTACTGCTGACAAGAACTGCTTACAATAACCGGAAGGAACAGAGCAAAACAACAAAATTGTTGTTGGGTGTGATGGGTTGCTGCTTCCTCATGTCGAGCCTCGTCTCCCTCGAAGCAGCTTAAGTCTGCAAGATGCCTCCTTTCAACGTCGATTCACATGGCTCGACAGAAAAGAAAGCACTCTGTTCACCATCGAGAGGGAACCAACAAACTTGACCATTCAAAACTTGTGCACCATGATTCACGTTGCGTTGAGCTTCTCCAAGCGGATTGAGTCCGTGATTCACGACGATGCCCATACAAATGAATCTGACGTGCTCCATTCAACGTGACTGTCCTATGTCTTTAAGCATCTTCGGATTTTGAACATTCTTTGACCTGCGCCAAGCACGATTCAACTCGAGAATCAATCCCAAGACCACCAACCACACATTTCAAAAACGGCATTTTTCCATATCAGCTCGCCATGTGCTTCGCCGTTGTCACAATGGGCATCATGCAGGATTGCGGCCATCGCCAACTTGTGGCTGACGCTTCTTCCTGCGAGGAGGCTGACGAGAGTGGCGCCTGGTGCCCCTCGTACCAGTGGGAATGGAGTCGCGACCCTGATGGTCTGCTGTACCCCAGTGGCATTTGTAATCGCTGTCAGGCATCCGGAGGCATCATCTTCGATGGCCGCAACGAGACCATACCTGCGCATGCCAATACAAGGGAGGGAAGCGTCACAATGGAGGATAGTAGTAGCGACAGCAACGAAGAGGAAACGTCGTGGATTCGGGAGCGATGGAGAAGATTGCGACATGCGTTCCGGGCCAGCGAATGGTAAGACAAAGGGGCATTACGTTGGATCGGAGAACGGCGAGACATTGGGTGCCGATATTGATCAGTTACCTATATAGTCATGAAACAATCGGTTCTGGGCTTACCGGACTCCCCGAAGACCAGTGTGGTGATATCAATTTGGGAGTTTGTAATCGGAGACACCAGCCCCAATACGTGAAGGGATGTGCCTCCTCGTGAACCCGGAAACTCCCCGGGAACATTCGCTCGCACATCCACAGCATTGTGAAGAAGTCAAGACCCTGCCAGTCCTGGGTAGGACAACCTTGACCATGGTGTTGTCACACAAGGTACGGCGTGTTCCCGGCAAAGCCATGGGCGAATGTCAAGGTCCGACGTGCTTTATTTGACGCATCACAAACCTGTCCTCTGGGAATAGATCAAGGGACAAGGTGCGGGAGGGGCCTGATTCTGGGAGAGGCAGAGGGTTTGCAAGCCGTCAATATCTGGGACAAGGCGCCAATCGGTCTTGTACGAGGGGGACGATGATGAACAAACGCCTCGAGGCTGACAACGGCCTATTGGTGCGATCCTCCACCACCGACGCCGAGCCCCTGACTTGGAAGTTTCAACGGCAGCGGCAAGTTGTGGCGGCGCCTCGTGAAGAACGCACCACGCAATGGCTTGCGAAGGCTAGCTGCGGTATCACAGGCTTGGCCATCGTGAAAGGAAGGTCCCTCGACTCTGATCCGCGAGTCTGCGATGGCGAAGCATCTTACACCATCTGCGTAGCGGCTTGCGTGAAGAGAGTCAGAGAAGGTATCAAGCCAAGATCGTTATCGATCTCATGATCGTCAGGCTGCGATGCCTGGGTGATGCCGGCCCAAGCCAGATGGGGCAGCAGCTGAAGCGTGGCGATCAGGATCCCGGGGTAACGTCGCTGATGGTGTGCGAGTGTCGACTGCCGAGCGCCAAAGTAGGTGCTAAGATCTGTGCCTGCTGTATTGAGAAGGCGCCCTTTGTCACGCGAGAATAGCCAAGTCCGAGGCGAGTTGTACCACCTACTGGATGTAGAAAACATGACCCTTGTGCTCTTTTACCGTTGCCGGTGGCAAACGCCTGAGGAGCCATCTGCATCAACGAAGCAATGGAGGATGTGACCTAAGCCAGGGGGGGTTCATCACATCGACTGAGCCAAGGCTGCGACGGGATTGTTGTCGATGTTATTGTTAGCTCGGATTAGCGGAGATCAAGTATATGATTTCCCGGGCAAGCTGCGGCACTTTTGTGAAGCGAAGAGAGGAGTCTGCAGGGCACCAAACTTCCTTCATGTCGCGATGAATGAGTGAGGCCTCTCAATCGAGATGTTGTGCCGGAGCCTAGGGTTGAGCCGAGTCGTCATAAGTCTGTCTGACTGAGCTGGAGCATCAGGAAGGTCCTGAAGTCCAGTGCACGCATCAGTCAGACGGAATGAGCACCTCCGAGACGTCTTCCAGAAGCAGAGAAGAAGCCCGCAATTAGCACAAGGCGACAGCGACCGCTTCGGCGCTGAAGCAGTCATGGGGGAGAGGAGGTGACTCTGCAGCAGGTTCTAAAGCGTGTCTTAGCCCCGAGGCACAACGTCGATGGCGTGCTGCGGAAGCGGCATTGCGGGCGTGAGCGATGGGCATGGGGACGCATCCTCACCAGATTGTGGCGCGGGCCGCATCGTGCATGAGATATCGTGGGGGGCGCCTGTTGGGCCTGTAGATGGAGAGACACCCGGCTAGGAGCCCAGGTACTGTAAGCTTCTGGACCTGTCACGTACAGTGGCCGCGGGCTCGTCGAGGGTCGGGCATAAGGGGTTGGCGATGAACGAGACGGGAAGGTGCCGGGATGAAGCCAGCGGAGGCGGAGCTTCAGTCCAGCTCGAGTGCGGCGTGGTTGACAAGCTTCGGATGCCATCAGAGGTGATAAGCTGGCAAGGAACGCGTCGCGCTAGAGAGGCTTGGTGCCGAATGGATCGGCAGTCGCGCATCGATGGCCTGGTCAGGCACGTCAATAGTCTTGTCCTAGGCTTGCGAGCGGTTGAGGGGATCTCGACATTGTCAAGCTTGGCTCAGGGTCGAGCGGCTACATGTGTGCTTGGCTGTCAGGTTAGGTGGTCAAAGGATGATAGCAAATGCCACGGAGGAGGGATGCAATCGCAATCTGGTGCAGGTTGAGGTGCTTGTCGATGGAACGGTCTTACTCAGCCGTCCTAGTCCGGATCTGGTGCCCGATGGAGATCATGGCGGTACGCCGGTCCATTCGGCTCACAAGCAGGGAAGGAAGTACCGAACGAGATCGTGCTCACTGCCCCAGACCCAATCGGCTTATCAAGACAGCGCCATCAATGAATGAAGGGGTGGAGAGCTGTACCGTGTACATGTAGTGGATCTTACGGGGCATCTGAGCCCAGGAGGAAGGGGCCAGGAGGCATCTACGTCTTGACACTGTGTCCCGCGGCTTCAGAGCGCGATAGTACAGTGCAAACCACGCGATCAGCTGTCAAAAATGCAGGCGTTTCTCAAGGAGGGGCAGTCCCCCGTCGAGCCAGGAGCATTCGGGCCCACTGAAGAAACATGCGCTGCAGCAAGCCAGGTCATTGCTCCTGGGCTTCCTCCTTTCTGCCCTGCCCCTCTCTCCCTTCCTCTTCCACCCATCTGTCACCTCAACACCATGACCAGCATCACCTGATGCCATCTCGCGTCATGACTGGCAGCATCTCTGTGGACCACTCACCGCTGCCGAGTGAGCATCTTCCATCAAGCTCTATGCTTCGTCTAGCCACCTGCAGTGTAACACCTCCGCACAGTGGAACATAACTGTGACGACTTCAGCTGTATGCCAAACAAACACCTGCCTTTTCTATGGCACCGGACGACATCATTTACCTGCTGCTCAATGAGTCTCCGGCGAGGGGCTGATCAAATGCGCCTCTGGATCCAATGAGGACTGCCCCTTAGGCCTCTGCTACGTCACTACACATCCTCTCAACACGTGCAGTCATAAGTTACTAACGCGGGGCCAAGATACCATGAACGACTAAACAGTGAAGAGCATACCCCAAAGACGACCCTCTAATTTGTCGCCATACTACGCCTTCTGTTCACCATCGCTATTGGGCATGCCCGTTGCTTTCGAGAGCCAGACGCTGATCGTTATGGTCACGTAGAGCGGATTGACTGCCCAAAGAGGAAGGCCATTCACATGTCCAATCCCAGCCTGCATCGAACACCGTCCTTGAGCGTTCCCCAGTATCAACCATTCGCTGGCTGAAACACGCTTCTGTCAAGAAAGGAAAGCCTGGCTACCCTACCACGCATCCATCTGGTAGGGCCAGCCTCTGGAGGAGTGTCGACCTCAGCACACCATGGCCAGCAGGGTACCTACAGAGGGCCAAGTCAACCTTGGTTCTTGGTTGGACTAATGTAGATCATGGGCCGGGCCAGGCCTTTTCAGCACACCTATTCTATATTCTACGCAGTAGGGATCTTGCCGTCTGAATAGTCCGGATCTCCTGATCGCCCGCCTCCTTCTTCCCGTGGTTCGCCCTGGTTGCCTCCTCAGGATCCCCCTGGGGAGTGGCATGGCAAGGCATGTCCCTGCTCACGGCACCGGGTTTCATGTCTTGGAAGTACAGTCTGGGAAGGCTGTGATGCCCGAAGGTTGTACAGCTCGACATGTTATGAGCCTGCCGCTTTGTCTACGCAACTCAATTGCCATCTCTTGTTCGATTAGCTGAGGCGAAAGAGCATCAGAGATCCTGCACCATCAAACTTTGGCCGGTTTCCTATTGCTCATGCCCGACGAGTCGGCCTCAACTGCCGGTATCACCACTTCGTTCAGTTCAAGTACCCGCAGCGCCGCCCCGCCACAGACCCTACCCAATCGAACGTTGTGCAACTGCACATGGTTGAAGGGCCTTGAGGAATGGAGAACCTGTGTGACAGCTCATTGCGAGCAGGCAGGACTGGCAAATGGATGGCCAAGAGATCTGCAGTCCCTCAGCTTAGCGCCAGCTCTATTACTGGCACGCGCACCTGATAGCCTCGTTGCATTGCCAAGTAGCTACGTGCTGTACGTTGTCGACTTGCCCCGGCATCTGCAAGTCGGCCTCGTCGCGCTACTCGTCTCCTTCCCCGCCTCTGGACGTCGCCAACTTCCTCTTTGATGGGGCCCCTCCGCATCCTCGACGTGCTAGACGCCTTGGTCACGGAATACCCATGTGCTTCGTCTCCTTCCCCTTTGCGCATCGTGTTATCGACGACATCTGCGTGCCACTCGCGTCATGGTATGGCTGTCTGGAAGAGGAAGCTCATGGCAGCCCGGCTCCAGGCTTTTGGACCCTCTCGCCTATGGCTTGAGCCTGAGACACGATCCTGGCATGGCATCGTGCAACCGCTCGGCATCATGTCGTGAGGCGACCGCGCTATTGACGCCATGCCCGACTCAGTGCCGTTGCTGTTTTGGCTCTACGGCATAGTAGTTGAGAATCATGATGCACTGCAAGGAGCTCGACAAATTCGCTGTCCTGGTCAGCTATATAAGAGGTGGCCTTCATCCTCGATGATAATGCCTCCTCTCTTCACCCAGCCTCATCTCAGCATCAGCAACATCATCTACCGGTATCTTCTCATCGTCTCACTGTCATCAAAATGGTCAACAACTTCCAGCGCCTGAGCGTCCTCGTCGCGGCTCTCCTGCCCGTCGGTCTTGCCGCCCCCGTCCAGAGCGAGGAGCGCGATGCCGAGAGCTTCGGAGTCGTCGGCGCATCCGCCAAGGACAGCTACATCATCACCCTCAAGGACGACCTTGAGGCTCGTGATGTCGAGTCTCACCTTGACTGGCTCAACGAGGTCCAGGCCCGCGCCCTGAACAAGCGCGACTTCCCTGGCGTCAAGAAGCACTACGACATTGGCGCTTACCACGGTTACTCTGGCAAGTTCGACGAGGAGACTCTCGAGGCCATCAAGGCCAGCCCCGAGGTGAGTCGGATCATACCGTGGCGTTCTCACATTTAAAGACAACTTTCCTAACAGTACTTTTTCTTAGGTTGCCGCTGTCGAGAAGGACCAGATCTGGACCCTCTTCGCTGTCACCAGCCAGTCCGGTGCCCCCTACGGCCTTGGCTCGCTCTCCTCGCGCACCGGTGCCTCAACCACCTACCGCTACGATGACAGCGCCGGCCAGGGAACTTACGCCTACGTTGTTGACAGTGGTGTCCAGGTTGGGCACTCGCAGTTCGGTGGCCGTGCCACTCTCGGCTCCAACCCTGCTGGTGGTGCTCACACTGACACCAGTGGTCACGGCACTCACGTCGCCGGTACCATCGGTGGTTCCACCTACGGTGTGGCCAAGCGCACCAACATCATCTCCGTCAAGGTCTTCGTCGGAAACACCGCCTCGACCTCCGTCATTCTCTCTGGCTTCAACTGGGCTGCCAACGACATCCGCACCAAGGCACGCACCACCACTTCCGTCGTGAACCTGTCCCTCGGCGGTGGCTTCTCGTCCGCTTTCAACAACGCCGTCAACGCTGCCTCGGCCCAGGGCGTCGTCAGCGTCATCGCTGCCGGTAACGAGAACCAGAACGTTGCCAACGTCTCTCCCGCTTCCGCTGCCAGCGCCATTGCCGTCGGTGCCGTCGACTCTGCCTGGGCCATTGCCTCCTACTCCAACTGGGGTGCTGGCGTCACCATCTTCGCCCCTGGCTCCAACGTTCTGTCCGCCTGGATTGGCAGCAACACCGCTACCCGCTCCATCTCCGGTACCTCCATGGCCTCTCCTCACGTTGCTGGTCTCGTCGTCTACCTCCAGCGCCTCGAGGGTCTCGCCAGCCCTGCCGCCGCCAAGGCCCGCCTCATCGCCCTTGCCACCACTGGCCGTGTCACTGGCAACCTTCGTGGCTCCCCCAACCGCCTCGCCTACAACGGCGTCGCTTAAGTGGCTAACACATTCTGACAAGCTGAGTCAGAAAGCAGGCCTCTTCGCCCAAGGGACATTGAAAAGCCCTCGGGTGATGGCGAGAAGAATGGTGATACGTAACAGTGTTGCCTAGAGAGGAAGGATCCGGCGTGGCTGGAGAATGAGGAACGGGTGGTTGTTTCTAGACAGACTGGCGTTCCTTTGTTCTCCTCAGCCATTCATCAACTGCGTGCTTGAGAGATGCAATGTTCGTCGCACAGAGTTTGGGTGGTAGATCGACTAGTTTGCCGCGAAATTGATATTTGTTGGTTTGGAATCATCGCTGCCTTGTCTCCTGAATGTGTCTTTGACTTGATGGAATTGACAAACGCTACGCGGGTTTAGCCTTCCTTCTCCGGCCCCATCATCTGGTATTGTGGATGAAAGCTCGTCGAGTAGCTCGCTTTCAGGTATGGCATTGACGATGCTCCTCCATCGTTTGTTATATCGCGATCTTGGCAGCGTTTGCTACCTGTTCCGAGCTGCCCGAGTCCCGACCTCCTGAAATGTAAAACTGGGGTAACTTTACCATCGCAAGGATTTCAGCTATCATCATGTTTCTGGTTACCCTCATCAAAACCAACGACATCAGAGGTGGCAGTTGTCGTCTTGCGGCTCAAAGTGGAGAAATAGTCCGACTGGATCGCAGGCGAGTAATAGCCCGCTTGATCCTGGGGGAGCGTGATTGATGTGATCAGATCTACTTCTGGCTGCAGGTCGGGACGGGCGATCCGAAGCCGGTGGGACGATGTCGAATACGAGGTACTGACAAGGGGCCATGACTCGGTGTCCTCAGCGTGTTCAAGGTGGACCTCAGGACGAGAGATAAGACACGGAGGGTATACCGCATTTCTTTGCTGGATGCACTGTTTGTGACATGCCGTAAGAGGCCGCTGCCTTCAATCTTGGTCTTGGTGATTGTGTACGGAATTATTGTGTTAGAGTTTCTTGCGGACTATGAGGCTGCAAGGTTGGTGTGGCAGTGACAGTGACGTGAGACCATCGTCTGGTGCACGCTACAGTTTGTATCTACATGACGAATATCCGAAGTTTGGTTTGCTGGTTTTCATATGTCTTTCGCGCGTACAGTGGTATTGTGGAAGCGTCTCGTCTGTTGGGAATGAGGTCGGAATTGACTTGAGCTCCCATTTGTTTGTGACATGAGTCAATTCTCCGTCACGGACTCTCAGCCAACAAGGTCCCACTGGTCTAATGGTCTAATGGTTATGACTGCGGATTCTGATTCCGCCAGCCCAGGTTCGATTCCTGGTTGGACCTGATGCATCATCTTTTGACTTTTGTTGACTGAGAGAGTTGTGACCATGTCCATGAACGTCAATGTTTTTTTAAAAATTTGTCTAATGGCCAAGCGATCATCTGCGAGCCTGTTCTCACCCATGAGTATCATGCCTTTTTCTCTCTCTCTCAGTATCCCTTTACGTTGTCGGAGAGATAAGAGTGTGCCCAAGATAATAGTGTAGCTGCCTCGTCGATGAATTGACAGCAGACGAAGATTTGAAATCTACCATCTCACAGGACGGCCTGAAATGCTCCTTCCGAGGTGGCCGAAAAAGTAGGCACAATAATCTGCTGTGTAACGCGACTAGTTTCCTGCAGCGATGATTTCGATGCCCACGACATTATCCTCATAAGCACTGGGCGGAATGTTGCCCAAGTTGCCCACCAGCACCGACCGTGATGTTGCCCACGTTTCGCACAAGGCCGGATCGCCGCACCAGAATCTCAAGACGACCTGACAATCAGCGAATTTCATCAAGCATGCCAACAACCATCTTGCGTCACATCCACGGTATTCATTATTAGAAAATGCTCTCATAGCATCTATCCCACGTCTCGCTGTACCAGTACAAAGCTGCAAATACTCTCGACACGAGACTACGCGACCGCAAGCCAGGAAATGCAGCACTCACCAAACCGTTCGAGCAACGAAGCACAAGACAAACGCATAAACGCCGTGCAGAATAAACTTGATACGTCCCTCCTCATTACGGACGACAGCCGAAGAATCGCAACACGGGCAGCGCGGGCGAACCTGCAAGTCACTCGCCCTCGCCTCTCCACCAATATGCACCTGACCACATCACCCGCGATACCTCGCGCGACATCACCCGGGCGCATCACGCAGGCGCGCCGGCCAGACCACAAAAGACGCGAGCCCCACCGGGTTAAAAGACATGGGTATCACGATTGGGATGGGGGACATCGACAAAACGGAGGTGAATCGAAATAGATATACCCTGCAAAGAGCGTATCGTCCGCAAGTGGGAGACGAAACAAGGCTATACAGCCAGCGGCTGACTTGGGGGCCTGGTCACTGGTTAGCGGAACGAGATCACGACTTGAACCAGTCCGTCTGTCACGAAGCTGGCATAAAACATGTTAAACCAAGACAGCGCAAATCACCAACACATAGAGATAGTCAAGTAGCAGCAGGTGTCAAGAAAAGTCAAATCATGAGGCTCGTAGAGTACAGGTATGTACAGCTGGGAACGGGGGTATAAGTTTGCGGGCCCTCCCTTCTCTGCCCGCCTCTCCTCGTGCTAGTCCAATCCACGTCTCCGCCCCTTGGCTCTTGTCCGTGACGTGTCCGGGAGGGGTTTCGATATGCGGCTGGACGCCTCGTCGGGCGTACGACGAAGTGTTTTGCTGCCTCTGTATGGGCTGCTGCTGCGATAGGTGCGCGGGCTTGGTGAGTTCTCCCGGCGAGTATGATAGGTGGTGGAAGGAATGTGACGGAGGGTGGGTATCTGTTTGAGGTCGAGGTAAGATGAGGTGGTGGGGGGTTCTTGCTTGGGGGTAGGTGTTTCCATCTCGATCGACTCGACGATGGTGTCGAAGATATCAGTAGGGCACTGGGCTTCAAAGTCCTCTTCTTCGTAAAGCTCGTCGGCGTGGTGGCTCTCGACGAGATCCGAAATCGACGTCGCGAGCGAGTCGGGATCGTCCGACTGCGACGTCTCTTCGTCTTCGTGATCGTCGTCAAGGTGACGGCGAAACGCGTCCGATTCGGAACCCGAAAAGGACAGCGACCGAGCAGGCGTCAGACGAGCCAGGGTAAAGTCATGATCGTGCAGATCAGTAGGAGATGAGGGGGACGAGTCATCTTGGGTGGTCATGGATCGAGGAGAAGGAGGAAGATCGGCGTCTGCGGCCATGGTGTTGATACAGAAAGGTTCGCGGGTCATGAAACGCTTCTCGTCATCGTCAGGAAAGAAGTAAGGACCGCTCTCGGCATCATCGTCGAGACTACTTGGGTTGGTGCTTGCCACGCTGTACTGGTCAAAAGAGGAGGCGGTAGACGCGGTGTCGTGAAAGACGTGTCGGTCGAGATAGCCCTCGGGAAGGTAACTGGAAAAGTATCGTACAAGCGAGTCGAGCGAACGCGTCCGAAAGAGCTGGACGGCGAAAGACCACTGCTCCGTCCCAATGAGCTTCGGGTTGGCGATGATCTCTACACCGGCCAGCTCGAGCGAGTCGTCGAGCTCACGAAGACGTTGAACGCGTCGCTCGGCCATGCGGCGATGGAACTCGTCCTCGGTGCGGGAGTCGCTGGAGATCTCGAAAACATCGTGGTGGAAGGCTTCAGGGTCTTGAATGGAAGAAGGAAAAGTGTTGTATTGGTCATGCAGCTTGGTGAAGAGGTCAGCCCTCTTCATGCCAAACTTCCAGGCGGGCCAGGCGTAGCCTGGGTCGTCCATTGCGTGTGATTGTTGTGATGGGTGCCGCCCAGGGGGTGGACGGGCTTTGTGTGTGGGTTCAGAGTAATGGTAGTAATTGTGTGCTAGTGAGGCCTGTCCTGGGAGAAGCCATTTAGACCATACTAGAACTTGTTGGAGCCATCGTGTCGGTATTCTGGAGCAGTAGTGTTCGAGCGTTGCGTGTTTGTTGATGGGCTTGTGGTGATGACAGCGGACAGTTTCCAGGGGTGGGACGAGGGAGGAGTTGGGAAAAGGCAACGAGGGTGATCGGGGGGGGGGTCGTGCTGGGCCCGACAATGAGTGCGAAAAGTGTAACGATGAGCGAGACAGGCTCATGGGGCTGATGGGGGCCACTGGAGAAAGCCGGATGCGAGCCCGATCCAAATCTGGCTAGTGCAAGACCAGATCGGTGCTAGTGTATTTGACATCAGCGGGACATCTGCCAATGAAAAAGGGGGGTGTGGACCACCTGCATGCACCTGATGCACCTCTGGTTTGGGGGGCGCAGCAGGACTCCTGAGTCACTTCAGAGTTGGGCTCGCACTATCGCCTTTACCTGTACGCTTCGCTGACCTCTGTTAAGAGCCCTCCTAAATTCTGGGGCTGCTGGAGTCGCTCCCAAGTCCTCCGAGCTCGGAATGGCCAATGCAGGAAAACCTGCGCTACTGCAGTGGAGTGCCTGGCAGGAACCAATTATCGGATCGCCAGTGCTTCACACCCACTCACACGCCAGCCCTACACCAATCATATGGACTGTTCAGGGGTCATCTTGCATTTTGCCTTCCTTTGCACGAGCAGCCACCTCATCCTGTCCACCGCCCCCTTCGCACTTGCCGCGCTACACTGTAATACGGCCCCCAACTCTCCATTGCAACAACTTCCAATGCCACACCACCAACTGGCACAGTGCAGCCATCGGTATGGCCAGCACGTCTTCCCTCTCGCACCCGGCGCCCGCCATGGTGATGGTTGCTGTCTGCCCTCGTGCCCGACTTCCCTGGCAGCCTGGCAACATGATAAGCAGCCTGGTCGGGCTCCTCTCCGACAACTCCGATAGGGGCTGCTGCTGTCTTTCTACCTGAGGTCCCATGAAGGTCGAGACACAGGACAGGCAGGCAGCGCGACAGCCAGCAACAGCAACAAGCTGACTCTCGTGTCACGAGGGAGGGCTCAGTGTCTTTCCCTTGTGTCGCCCAACGTCCCTCACTGAAATCATACATTTCCCCTGCACTGATTGAAACGTTTCGCGACGCCAGAAAGATCACTCATCCCCGAGCCATGGGACCGTCGACTGACGACCGACTGACCTTGGCTTTTGGCCCCCAAACCTCATGGCCCCCAATTGTCTACAGCAATGACGAAGCCCCCTTCTTCGGCTGACCGAGGAACCCCGTCGAAGCTCCTCAGAACACTTGACTGACTGCACGCTGCGGGCACCCTTCGTGGGGCAAGGTGCCTTGCCTTGCGTCTCGCCTCCTAAACGAGCGGAGGGGCGGGCACTACTGCTGCAACCACAAACCTTTCAAGAGGAACAACATGTCGCGCAAAGTACCTCCACCGGATTTCTAGCCCTAGACGCTACATAGTGAGGACTTGCTGAGGGGGCTGAGGCACATCACTGCCACGACAGCACCCTGAAGTTCAGCGCTTGGTGCACTAAAAAGCCCAGCTCAGGCCCCCCCCAGAACAATAGACAGAAGCCAGGCCTCCCACAGTTCCTCTCAACCAGGAGGCCCCTCGCCACAAAGAAGACACAGAAGGGTTTCTTCACACGTTCTTCTTCTTCTTCTTCTTCTTCAGGCGACTTGCCCTGACCTACCTATTCTCGGTCAGCCCTTTGGGACGACGTCTGCCTGTCTGCAGAAAGTGAACCTCTTATTACTGGGCGAATGCATCGGCCACACAAATAACCGCCCAGCTGCTCTCACTTTTGCCCTCACCTAAGAAGCCCCAGTCCTGTGAGCCAGGGCTAGGCAACTCACCTACCTCAGGCGACGACCGGCGGCCTCGATGACTCTATCCCCGTGAGGCTGGATTCCCCATCAGCAGGCCCTTCATTGTCGTCCCAAGTCCTGGCCATCTGACGGCCTGTTTCTGCTTCTCTCACCTTCTCTTCCCTTCAGTCAGTCCCTGGCACATCTCTCTCCTCGACACAAGTCCATGTTCTGATCCTATTCATAAAGCATCGGTTCCTGCATTTGTACCTTGTCATTGCAGTCACAGTCATCCCCGGGTTGTTCCCCCCCAATTCTCATGACTCCCCGAATCCACTGTCGCCGTTGACCCCGCGTCTGCCTGAACCCGTTCTTCATTCACACAAGCTCTCTCCCTCTCTCCGCCCAACCAACCCTGACCGTTCACGCCCGCTCGTATTTGTTGCTGCTGGTACGGCCCCTCCTACGGTGACTGTCAGCGAAACACACGGTCATTCTAACTAGGCAGCCTTGCCGAACCTAGTCTCAGGACACCATCTAGCCCCATACCTTACCAAATCTTCTCCCTTCCTTTACCCACCTTCGCCACTGCTTTGTGCGCGGGAGCAGCCTTGCGCTTCTGCGCTTCCCGTCGCTAGGCAGCACCTCAAAGCTTGGTCTCGGAGCACGACCCCCATCGCCATCCTCCTCCATCCTGGCCCCTCATCGTCCCCATTCACGCTGCCCTCACATCCATCACAACGTCGACTCATACTCAGTTACGTTCGTTCGCTTCCCAGCGGCCGGGTGGCTAGCCGCCTGCCTCGGCCTCGGCGGCTTTGGACACATTGCCCGCCATGGCTGACCACCGGTTCCCCGTCTCGGAGGAGTCGGAAGAGCGAACAGAACCCTTCTCCCAGTCCGAGATTGATTCGCGCATGAAGAGCATTCGAGTCGAGGAACCCGACTACGATGTCATGTACGATACCGTCCCGCTGAACAAGCTGATGGTCGAGGAGCACCATCACAAGCAGGGCATCCGCATCCTTGTGCGCCCTCTCACCAGGAGTCGATCCGTGAGTCCCGGCAACGGCAGCTGCCAGTGGCTGGCCCTGCGCGCAGAGGTTGCGTCTGAGGACGAGCCCCATCACAAGGTCTTGGCCGTGACTCAGACAGCGAGAGATATCAAGTTCTCCGTGCGCATCCCCTCCGAGCATCTGGGTGAAGATGAGGTGCAGCGCTCGGGTGTGTGGTGCGAGCTATACTACGACCCAGCAAGCGATAACCAGATTCTCCTCAATCGATCCGAGGTCCCAATATCCCTGACAAGACTCTCCGACGACCCGGCTAGTAGTCCGGGTCCTTGTTTCGAGGTCAAACCCTACATGTCCAAGGCCCTTTCGCCAGGCACATGGCGCATCATTGTCGACAATATCTCCGTGCTCGATTTCAGGGTGCTGGAAAAGGTGCCCGCCATGCTGAAGCAGCAACAGCAACTTCCGGAGGCCATGTCCATGAGCTTTCTCAACTCGTCCGGAAAGAGGTCGTTGGAGGACACTGCTAATGAGGCTGCCGACGGTAGAGATGATAAAAAGGCGAAGTTGTCCGACGACGCAGCACCGAACAAGAATGACGGTGTCATCATGTTCCTCCGTCCCGCCGCCGAGCCACTCGTCTTCCCGTTACCCTCTGCGAACAAGGGCAAGGAGGTCGTGTCCACCAATGGCCATGCGCTCCTAGATGTGGGCAACGACGAAATGGTTGAGATCCCTGGAAGCTGCGAAATCGACGCGTATACGGTTACCAAGCACGGCCAGATCGCATCAACGTCCCTCTCCTCTGTGTACACTGCCACCCATTCCAACGTTCCCGATGGCATCGTCACCGTCAAAGTCCTCAAGACGCTTCCGAATAGCTCCGCCGCTGCGCTCCAGCAGAAGCCACAAGAGGCTGAGCGCAACGTCATCCGCCAAGCCGACATGTGGCTCCGTGAATACCAATCACAAGACGACTTGCGCCACGACTCCATCGTCCGCCTCTATGGCGGCGACGCCCGTTTCCTTTCTCTCTACATGGAACACGTCGATGCGCGCGACCTGTCCGCCCGCGGCGTATGGCGTTGTCCACGCAGCGACAACTTCATCGGCGACCGCACCGATGCCACACGCATTCTGCGCGATGTCGCCTCTGCTCTGCATTACCTCCACAGCCGTCGTCTCGTCCACAATGATATCAAGCCCGCGAACATTCTGTACTCTCCAGCCCGCGGTGCCGTCCTTTGCGACTTTGGCCTCTCAACAATGGCCGGCGGGCCCGCGACAAACGGCGGCACACCATTCTACGTACCCCCGGAGTTCATCGGGGCCCGGCAGCGCGGTCCCGCCTCGGACGTCTGGGCTCTCGGCGTCACAATGCTCTACGTTCTCCGCCGCATGCCTTTCCCCGACGGACGCGGACGCCAGGCGCACCCCAAGAGGCTATACTGGGTCATCGCCGACCTCAACCGGCCCGCGGGCCGCGCGCGCGGCGCCCAGGGCGCCGTCGAGCAGATGAAGACGTGGCTCGGCGAGGTGCGCGAGGCCGCCGACCGGCTGAACCCACGCGACAGACTTGAGCGGATCGTCAGAGAGATGCTCGTCCCTAATCTCAACCAGCGCATCACAACGGCGCGTATCATGAGAGAATTGTTTGTCGAGAGGGAACAGCCGCAGCCGCAGCAGCCGCAGGCTGTCGTGGCGCGGGCATGATGCGATGTTTGGTGGTGGCAGTAGTACTTGGGCTAACGATGACGAAGCGATGGGTTGGTTTGATGATATTGATGTATGTAGCATTGTTTCGGCATTTTCTGTTTGGGCATATCCCCTCCCCTGATTCTTCTTCTTCTTTTTCTTGGCTTTAAGGCACTGGCTCTTCTCATTTCGCCTTTACCTTGCCTTTTTTTTTTACTGATAGCGCATGCATTCTTGGTAGAGTTGCTTGCGACGTGCTTTTAGATACCAGATTCCTATGACGGATGAGCGGGTGGCATTTGATGGAGGAGCGCGAACGGTCATGCATGGATGCATGGGGTGATTGAATGATACAGTGGCATGGATATATATACCGTCGTAGCGCGCGGTGCGATTGGGGGCGGTGGTGGAGGACATGGGAAATAAACATGGTCGCTCATATGAAAAAGGTGTGGTTTGATGGCATCAAGATTTCAGTTCTTTTTCATGCTGCAAATGCATCGCCCAGCCTAGGGGGCGGGCTGGTATCACCACGCGTTATTTCTTTGATCATGTACAAGTCTTCCTCGCCTCATCTTCGCCATGCATTACTACGTTTTTCAAACTCTTTCCGTCCATCATGGCGCTCGCGGAGCCCCTGCCTGTCCATTCCGTTATGGTGCTGTCGCACCTTGGACCGATCGAAGACCGCTTACAGGGTCAGGCCAAAGACGACAGCCATCCCGAGACCGACGACGGTGGACATGTACGCCGAGTTGAGGGCTGCAGAGCTGGGCGCGGCCGTAGTGGCGGCGGCGCCAGCAGCAGAGGACGTCTCGCTGGCGCTGTCGTCGTCGCCGCCATCGTGGTCGTCGTGGTCGTCAGACGAGCCGCTGCCCTCGCCCTTGATGACGACGGCCTCGGCGTCCTCGGTGACGCACTGGCCCTCGGCGGGGCCGGCGGCCTGGGAGGTCAGGCGAATGTCGGCGCAGTTGTACTGGGCCTGGCCCGATGGGCCGACCATGATGGTCTGGATCGAGGCGTTGGTGCCGTCCTCAATGTTGAGGTCCGTGGGCAGCGTGAGGCCGTCGAGGCAGAGGGTGCCGTGGCCGGACGTGTTGGTGAGCTGGGGCGTCAGGGAAATGTTGAACGAGGTGATGTTGCCGGTCGTGGGGTCCTCGAGGCCGACGTTGATGAAGGCGTAGTTGAAGGCGTGGCCGAGCTGGAAGGCGATCGAGCCGTTGGCCAGGGGCCAGTCGGTCCTGTTGCCGCTGCCGTACTCGACACCGCCGCCTGGAAGAGTCAAAAGTGTCAGTCATCTGCGAGCGTGTCTAACGGCGCCGCGAGAGAAACGTACAAGGCCACGTCCACTGGCTGTACCCAGTCTCCTCGGTGTCCTCGAGCGTGTCGGCACGCCAGTCGGGGTAGAGGACGCTGTAGTGGGCGGCGGCGAGGCCGGCGGTGGCGAGGGTGAGGAACGACTTGGCGACCATTGTGGAATCGGGGTGCTCTGACGAGGATGAGGCGGAGAGTCAATGGGGAAAGGCGTGTGTGGTGATCACAGCGGAGAGAAGATGGATGGAGGTGAGGTGAGGAGGCGCAAAAGTCCAGCTATCAAGGTTCTCTCGACGTGGGCATCCCTCATACCTTATATAAATAGGCCGAGTGATTTGGAGGTCTCACCCTCTCGCTCCCTCACCCCGCAAGCGGTATCACATCGTTTGCTTACCAGCCCTGACTGTGCATGGCATCAGTCGAGCAGAATAACGGGCAGGCCTCACCCCCGCAGTAGGCGTGTCTAGCCTTGCGTGCTCTTGCCTCGCTCGACCTCCGGTTCCTGCCATTTGAGGCGATCCCCCGCGCATATCGTGGCTCGCACCACGCCGTCGGGCAGGGGCCACGAGGTTGGTGGTTGGTCTTTCCCCCCCAGAGCCATGCCCTCGTCCAATGGCAAGAGGTGCCCAAGAACGCCAGGTGAGCAAGTTTACCCACGCAGGAGGAGACCTAGCTTGTATCCCTGGAGCACCGATGGGCCCTTGGCGCGACGTCGAGATCCTTGGTAGACCGACCGGACTGACTTTCTGCACTGCAGTGAGCTGGTGTGGTGATCGAAGCTCCCCAAACGGAACAGAGCAGTCGATGTTGAGGAGCAGGAGCCTCCTGTGGCCCCGTACGACGACCCGCTAAACATGCATCCAACTGGACGCGGCGCCAATGCCATCGCTCCAAGCAGGAACGCCCGGGCCAGGGGCGGCAGAGACCCTGGCGCCGTTAGCGTCATTGGCGCTGGAATCTTGCTCAAACTCCCGCAGCGCTATCCCCAATGTGGGGTCACGACCCTTCGTTCCTCTCGACAACGACATGCCCCTCAGTAATTAGACTTCTACTGTGAAGCCCTGACAAGCTGCGATCAAGAGCGCTCTTTGACGTCCATTTCCACGACTCGGCGCACGTTCATTTGCGTGCTGTGGATTGGTGGCTTCTGGGTTCGTTTCGAATCGAAGATTAGGCCGGGACGCCATATTGTGCTCATCCGCAACGGAAGATAGGTCCGACCTCCAGACCTAGAGCCTTCGGATCACAGGCTTCGTCTCGATGGCGAAACACCTTCTTTCTTTGATAACCGGATGGCACATGAGCTCGGATGACGGACTTGGCTGACTCGAATTCTAGGCTCTGCGTATCTCGCTGCTCATTGCTTTCGTCTCGTGAAGCGCACCATCCTGTCCATGATGCTGTCATCGGTGCTACTGCCTTTGCGATACTACTGAACGAACGACAAGACGTCCGCGAGATCAGGCACTCCTAGCCTCTAGTAACATGAAGCTTAAACGCAACACTCGAAACCCCCGCTCTACGGCGCATGCCGCACGATGCCCACGATGTGCACGTTCCCGACAGTCTGGTTACTAGGTCGCCTGCTCGGTTCTCGGGTCGATCCACACAAGCTCCCATGCATGCGTTCCTGTCTGACATGGGACATTCTTCTGGACGAGCTTGCTGCCAATGACGAAGAGCTTCTTCAAGCTCGACACCTCTTCGGCCTGCGAGGGGAATGACAGGCGGTTACTGGTGTTGCCGCGACGCCTCTGCGTATCGGCCGAGAGGCGCACGTGAGGCCCGTGCCGCGTTCTGCTCGGACCTCTCTTGCCCATTTCTCACCAACGGACTTATCTCAACTTATGGCATGTCTTTCGTGATACAGTGAGCGACGGCTGCCAGCCATCGGGAGGGTCTAATTCCTTGAGTCGATGGGCTGGTTGTACCATTGTAGTTCACTGGCATCATATAACGTGATGCTCCGGTGTTCATCTTACTGTACGCAACGCACCGGGACGCTCTAGAAGTTTCAAACGATCTTCAAACATATTTAATTACTCATCGCTAGCTTTGGTGTAGTCGAACCAACCCGCAGACAGTCACGTACAGTCACGTGTGTGAAAAGGCCAACGCGAACAGTCTACCAGCATGTCTATGCGGAAGAGGTCTGTTGGAGCCGTTAAGTGGCAGTCCAATGACCGCTGTGCATTTCACATGATCATGCAGCTGGTCATGAGCAAGGCGATATCGGCGGAGCTCCGCCACCTGCGCGCGCCATCCTCCAGATATTAGGCTAAGTGGAAGACCGACTACGCTGCATACTCATGAGAAAGATTCGCCCTTTCATTTGTTGCCAGGCCTTCTAAACTCATTTGCTTCACTGCAACTGCGAACAGCGGCTCATCCGCTACAAGGATCGCAGGCGCCAGGGAGTGCAGCCTTTCTAAAGTCATCACCTTATCTCTGTGCCTAGCCTATAGGAACCGCGGTCGTCCTAATGAAGTGTCGCGGCTAAAGGTGGCAAGATGCGGTGCAACATGGCATGCCATATCAATGTAATATCTCCATGCATATTTATGCGGATGAGGGCTACTGTGTCGACTTTGATGGTACAGATGGAAGTGTCGCCGCCGATATCGACGATACCCCTTAGTATAAAACCAGTGTCCCTCGATACCAATCTGCGCAATACTCATTCTCCATCCATTTAGGTGTCGTTCCTCAGAGCCACAGGTCTTCATAATGTTGCTGTCCATTGTCGTGCAACTCATGGTGACCGCCTTGCTGGCAGCCCAAGCATCCGCGGGACTATATCCACGGGACAGTGTGGATAGACTGCAGGATTCCGGCATGAAAAAGTTGAAGGCATACATCGCCGCGAATCCTCCCGAGTCCGGTTGCACTATTGAGAAAGCCATCAAGCGTAAGGAGTGGTACGGTGAACTCGTCGCACGTTGTCTCAGACAAAGCTCACACTACTCTGAAGGTCATCTCTCACTCGTGGCGAAAGGCGGTTGTACATCAAGGCCGTCAAGTGCTTGCACAGCAGACCCTCGAAGTACCCAAGGAGCGAAGCCCCCGGGGCTCGAAGTCGCTTCGATGACTTTGTCGTGACGCATGTCCAGCAGACAATGTCAATCCACGGAACGGCAAGACGCAACAAGTGACTCCGATTGGGACCATTCTGACATTGTCCAGGCAAACTTTCTCTCGTGGCATCGGTACTTCGTTTGGGCTTATGAAAAAGCGTTGCGAGAAGAGTGCGGATATCGTGGCTATCAACCGGTACAGTCTTACTTCTTCCCCCTTTCCCACACGCTCCATGATTGCTCATTCCCGCCAGTACGAGCATTGGCCGTACTACGCCTCCAACCCCCACGACTCCCCCCTTTTCGACGGCAGCGACGCCAGCATGTCCAGCGACGGATCGAAGGTTCCGCATGCAGGCTATCCATGGGCGGCATACAACATACCGCCTGGTGACGGCGGCGGTTGCATCATGGAAGGCCCCTTCAAGGAGTCAGTCGTCCCTCCTGCCTGACGTATTTGACAGTCTCCGCAAGTTATGTGGCTAACCTCCAGGTCAGCTTCAAGGTAAATCTCGGGCCAATGGTCCCTTTCCTCCTCGACATCCCCGCAAACCCTCGCCCCGACGGCTTGGGCTACAACCCGCGCTGCATCCGACGCGACATCAACCGGGTCGCAGCCAACTTCTCCAACGAGGAGTACACGTACGACCTCATCACGAAGGAGACAGACATCTCCTCGTTCCAAACTGTGATGCAGGGCGACTTCAACAGCCTGAATATTGGCGTGCACGGAGGGGGCCACTTCATGGTCGGCGGTGATCCAGGCGGAGTGAGTTCCCTGCGCAAGCTGTCTTCCAAAGGCGGGGCTGATGACGTTACAGGACTTTTACATCTCGCCAGGGGACCCGTCGTTTTACCTGCACCATGCCATGATCGATCGCGTCTGGTGGATTTGGCAGCTGCGAAACTTGGACGCGAGACTGGCTGCCGTTGCCGGGTTGACGTTTCCAAGTGATGGGTCTGGGGTCAGGAACGGGACGTTGGATGATCCAGTTGATCTCAATGTCAACGGGGAGGGAATACAGGTTAGGGGACCTGCTTGACACGATGAACGGACCGTTCTGCTACATCTACGTCTGAGATGAAGCGCAAATGCAGCTACAACTACCTCCGTCTTACTCGGGCGAAGGAACAGCGCGTCTGTGCTGCTTTCTTCCATTGATCTCTGTTCTGTGCAGCTTACTCCTGCTTATCTCTCTATGTAAAGCATTCGGTGACTGTCTTGGCGAATTCACCGTCTCTCCTGTTGACCGTCCGAGCTTCTCGTTGCTCTCAAGCTGCTTAGTCGAAGCTTCTTCCAGTGCCTCGTCGTTGTCGATCCTTTCATACCAGCACTCACATGTCAGTTACACAATACTCCTCCATGGTGACAGAGCTCTCTTGGCAAGCACTATCGTCAGCTCCAAAGGCGATTCTGTCACCCTACTTCGCAGCAATACTGCTGCTTGAAGACTCGCCCTCATCCACGGGGTGCTCGGTCTCGAGATCGCCCTCGCTGTCCTCCATCCATCTCTGGAGAAAGTCGTCCACGTTATCGCCAGGCTCCTTCCACTCACCCTGAAGCCATGGCTCGCACTTCCTCAGGATGTTGCATGTCATGTCAAACGGGCCGTCCACACACATGTTCCAATCATCAGTGCGATAGAGGAAGGCATTCCACAGATGCGACGACTCCAGCATGTCTTCAACAACATCGTTGCGCAGCCAAAACGACGCGATCTGTTTCTCGCCGTCCCACTTCCACGTAGTGACGACGTGGCTGTTGTTTCGAAGGAATTCTGCAAACTCAAAGTCGTCAGGCGATTCGCCGCGCGCCAGTGCCATTGCGAGACCCGACCCGTCGAAAAGGTACTGGTCATGTTCTTTGACGAAGACGATGACGAACTCTGGCGCTTCGGGGTTCGGAATCTCAATGTCTCTGTCCGAATCAAGCAGCAGCTCAAAGCGGCTGACGTCTTGCAGGGTGAGCTTGCTGGTGACGATGCTGAAGTTGAGGAGGCGCTGCCAGATGACGGCTAGGGTGCTGAGCTCGGAGTGCCAGGGACGGAGGTTGATGCGCGTAAATTCGCGATCCATGTGTTTGCCGCTCATGTAGTCAGGTTCCATGAAGGACCAAATCTCGGTGGGGAAGCGAGCCTTCGTTTCGAAGTCTGGAGTGAGGATTCGGGCGACCTGTTGAAACAACAGGTGGGGGTCCAATCCACGATCGCTGAGTTGGGCCACGAGACGAAAGTACGACGACAGATTGAGCGAGTGGGTTCGATGACAGCGTTTGTTGCGGTTCAGGGTGCTGCGTGGATGAGGCGAAAGGCAAAGGGTGAGCAGATGCTGGTCGAGCATCATGGCAATCAGGTACCGTTTACCGGATGTCACCACAAGCGGTGTCTTCAGCTCGATTTTGTTCCATCCCATTGGCGTGCCCATGTGCAAGGGCCTTGCTTGATCCGAACGCGGGGCTTCGTCAACCAATTTCTGGGTGAGCTCGTCAAGAGTCAGACCATAGATGGCGGGGATCAGCTCACGCCTCTGAAGCCCGAGAAACTCGTTCAGGTAGTCAACATGACTGCGGTATTCCATAGTGCCCTCCCAAGCAGTAAACATGATATGGGAGCCATTATCGGTGGATTTCAAGACATGCGGAACCGTCAGGAAAAGGGCCATGGGGCCGCCAGAGGCATCGCTGCTTTGGGTCAGCTCGATCAAACAGAAGGTCCATGGTCTTACTTACGCTACACTGGACATGTCAATCTTGTCAAACTTGCAAGGGGTCTGGCTCGCAACGCCTTGAATACCGGAGTTGTCGCTTTCATTCTCGCGCTCAGGCAAGCCCAGACGTAGCTGCTCCAAGACGTCGATGGCATCGCCGAGTACGATGTTCAGCTTGAGAGAGCCCCTGATCTGTTGGAAAGAGTCCCAAAAGTCCCGGAAGAAGATCTGGAGTGCATTCAGAGCATTCGTTGGATTCTCAAGGTCGACCTTGGGTATAAGTCCCATTCCGGACAGGAGAACGGCTACACCGTAGCAGCCCGCAAACTTGGGCACAACAAAGGGTTTGTGCCCCTGGCCGTTACCTTTGAATCCATCCACGTCTTCTACGAGCATGGTAGCGTTGGCCTTCCACGAAAGGCTTATGTGGGTTCTCATGAGATCGACGAGCTCTTTCCTCTGTTGATCCCTGGCGCTGGCGCTTCCAGTGGTAGTATTGCACACTACATGGTACTGTTGAATCACCTTGTAGAGCTGCGCGTCCTTGATGCGAGGGTCTTCGTCACCAAATGTTGGCCAATCGTCCTCGTCCTCAGAATCCTCGTAATCAGATTCATCGTCATCAGAATCCTCATCATCCGAGTCGACGTCAACGAAGCATTTCGGGAGGCCAAGGATACCAACATGGTTGGAGATATCGCTCTCAGCCTGGGTACTGAGCGAAGCTTTGGGGAACATGGAAAGCCACTTCTTCGGATCGGTCTGCTGAAGTTGGTTCATTTGGTTCGACTTGAGGATAGTGTCGTTCACAATCTGAAGTGAATATCCTTGGTCGCATGGCTCCCACCATTTGGTGACGAAGGATGCAACCTGCTCTCGAGTCGACTTGGACATTTGAATGTAGTCGTGGAACGGATTCGCCTTGGGGTTGTTCCAATTGTGCAGAGCGTAGTTGACGAGACTGGCTGCAGCACGAACTGCCTCTGCTGCGCGGTCCGGGATAATGGGAGAGCTGAAGACAAAAGCCAGCGAGGCGGAAGAGATCTCGCGTTCTTGTTCGTCTAATTGACGGCTCTCTGTCTCCATCAGCTGAAGCATCACGAGGAGGCGGCCAATCGCTGCTGGGTGGTGATCACAGAGGGTCAAGTGAAGTTGTTGAGGCACCGCCTCCGCGTTCTCCTTCTTCCTCCGAGAAGCTAGCTTGGCTGCCACAATGACAGTTGCGAAAAAGTGACGCCCATCTCCTGGACCGGCGAGGAACAGATCAAACGGTCCGTCGCCTGATAGGAGCTTCGCGTCAACCAAGGGCCTTGCTGGCTCAGTGTGTATGGGGTCATAAGGAGTCTGCTGGGCACTGGAGAAAGGTCAGTACGGTAACATTCATCAAACCACCCTCCTGGCCCCAGAAGTGTGCTTACTAGGCAGGTTTGCCGAGGGGAATGCGGCTCTTGATCTTGCTTTTCAGAGCGTGTCGGGAAGGCTCGTGCTCGAGGCAGAGTTGGAGCAGTCTGTAAACGTCGTGCTCTGTGACATCGGTCTTAGACATACCCTCGAGGATCTGGGGGCTAATGACATCCAAGTGGGGACGAGCTGCCACCAGGTCAAGATTCGTGAGGTGGCGGGAAGCCAGCAAGTTTCGAAGGTACGAAAGGGTCGTGGTATTATCGGGATGGCGCGCTGCATGCCAGCCTTCCAGAGCTTTTTCGGCATACTTGTATGCCATCTCCACCTGTCCTTGTGCCATCTTGATTTCGGCAAGAAGGGCGTAGAGCTCGGGGTGGAATTTGTGCTTGCCAACCCTCATCTTGACTCCCTTCATGGCTGCAGACTCAGCTGGCGAAAGGGACCGTCAGTAATGATACTAAAGGGAGAAAGAATCAAACATGATGATACGTACCACCTGCGAAATCTCTACTTTCGAGCATTCTGAAGGCCACAGCCAGTTGTTGTTCGTCACTGTTTTCCACCTTGGTAGGAGCAGGGAGAGGTCGGACGCCAATGTCGATTCTTTTGGTTGTTTGCTCAAGATCAAGAGGCCCGTGCCCAGGCTCCCGAGAAGGTGAATTAGAATCCATGATATCGATATCTCTCACGTGCTCACAGAAAGCTGGGTGAGTTGTGGACAAGTAGTCAACGTGACTGACGTGTGCCGCGTGAAAAAGTCTTGCAGTGTGTGGTCTGAGAGGAACTTGAAAAAGTTCTCCTCGTGAGGATATGGAAGCTACGGCAGAATTTAAGGAGAGATCTCTCGCGGGCATGGGCTTGAGCCTCGGCGACGATGTGTTGCCCGCAACCTAAAAAGCGGCACTGAGCGCGTGACCTTGCGATCGTGGACAGGCGGACGCACTAATAGGACATGAAGTAGACAAGCACCTTGAAAGGAATTCCAGGCGCCTCAATGATTTGGGCTTAATGCTGCATGATCTTTCTGGAGAGCTCGGTATGATTGTGAGTGATGATGGCAAGGTATGATGTTGTGACAGCAGGTCTCAGGCTGATGCCTGTGACCACTCCGCCAACGTTCTGAGCCTGAGTTCTTGGCCACCTCTTGTCCTCATCAAAGAATAGGAACAAGTGTTAAGACTGGGCAGGTGCGGTACTGTAAAGCACCTGCCGACTTTCTAAAATCCACAGTGACCTGAATGGTAGCCACAAAGCATCATCAAGTGCCTTAATATGGTCCAAGAAATTGATCACTAGACATCCATGGCAAGGCCAAGACAGAATCCTTGCAAACTTCCTAGCCATAGAAGTGATAGTAGGAGAGAGTTTGTGGCACTTCGGCATTGTGACAAAATCAGATTCATGGCTGCCCTCCGGGATCTTTGTCGAGGCAAGTGCACCAAAGGACGGTCCAACTTGGTCCGCTTCGCTTGCTCTCTGAACCTAGCCTTTTCTATACATCCCTTCTGACCGTCGATTGACAGTTTCCGGTAGACAGTTCTATCGCCTTTTGCAATATGCACTACCAAGTCACAAAATGTTGGAGCATTTGAAGGAGACGCTCCTCGGTAAGAGACCAAAAGGGATCCACGTAACATATATCTCAAATAGCCGTATCTAGACCTGAGAAGACTGAAGCGCACGCTATTGCCTCTAGTCCACAAACCGACCGGGTCCGCGGGTTGGTGTCAAGGTCCCCTTTCGCGGCTTACCGACTTCACGACCATAGGGGTCATCTGGGTATTCGATATTCAGAAAACGAAGCACGCAGTCCTGTATTGGTTTCAACCGAAGCATCACCCGGTTGTAGCGCCAGCCTAGGAGGGGCACGCAGGCACCGACGGCTGCATCGAGGAGGAAGTGATTGGCGGTTGAGACGATGGTCAAGAGCATGGCCATGGGCCAGAAAGGGGCTAGTAGGCGCAGGGGCCTGTGGGGTGAGAATCGCACCAGAGTGACGGCGAGAAACAGGGAAGTGCCAAAGTGAAGTGATGGCATGGCGGCGATGGTGAGTTGAAAGCGGTTCGAAGTCCACGCAGAACCGCCATGCGAACCACCATGGAGCACGTCAATGAAGCCGTACTCTTCTGGGAGCAGACGTGGAGGCATGCAGCGCCAGGTCGTCAAGATGACGAATGCTATGTAGTTGTTGAGCGCGATGGTGCGGCGAATGCGCTGAAAAGTAGAAGGTGTGAGGTGGGTGTAGATATATATGAGAAACACGATACCAAGACATATGTGGGAGTAGTAGATGCGAGCAAAGAGGGCCATGATGTCGGGGTGGTTCTTGAGAATATACGCTTGTATCGGTTGCTCAACAGCGATACCGAGGGTCTGCTCGAAGGAGAGAATAGAGAGGGCATGGTCTTGTGCCCGCATGAAGACACCCTTATTGCCCGCGATCATTCTCGCAGAGAAGGCGCGCATCAGTTGGTAGACCCTGGACATCAGGCGTTAGTGGATAGCATAATGTGCATTTGGGTCTCGGCAGATCCTCACCAATACGTCAAATTCCAGTACCAGATCTCGACGAGAAACGGAAAAGCGCGAAGGAAGCGGGAGAAGAGGTTGAGCTCTTGTGTGTAACATCGCTGTTCGAGGTATTCGGCATCGTCCGATTCTGGACTGGAGGGTTCGAGAGGTGGAGACTGGGCGGCAGAGATGAGCCGCTTTTCTTCATCGCCGCGCCTTGCTCGACGTCGGTTGATCAGAGCGCCAACAGTAAAAGCAGCGACGATGACTAGAAATACAACTATTAGCTTGGCCTGGCAGAAGAAGGAGGGTGGGGGATGCTGACAGCCAGGCTCGGCGGCGTTCCTCAGACCGCTCGTGGAGGAAGACATGGCCAGGCGTGGAGTGGTGCGCGGTCCAGGCCGGAGTCAGGTACCGATGCGATGGCCGCCCTTCGCCAAAGGCCTACTGGCATCCCCCGCCAGGCAAGACAAGACAGGAACAGGAGAAAGAATGGTAGAAAATGGTGCAGCCTCCAAAGTTACACAGAAGACACGCAAGGACAGACAGCTCTACAAGCAAAACAAGACACCAAAGAGCCGGGAAGAGGGAACTTCTGTCAGGAAGGAGGGCGAGAAGCAACAAACGACCAAGACAATGCCATGGAATCAAACGGCGAGATAGGCTTGGCGGTGTCTGGGCGGCCAGACGTTAAATAGGATAGCAGTGAAAAGGGCAGAGAAGGGGCAACAGAGCACTGGAGACGGAGTCGGGACCAAGGATTGGGATGGGAGGTAGAGCCCTCGGCCAAAAGAAAAGCACAGGCGCAGCCTGGTGGCCGGGGGCTTGATGCAAAGCCTACGAATAGCTTGGCAGCTTTATTCGATTGATGCTCGGCTTGTCGGTTTGACTTGGTCGGCCCAATCTGATGGTGGATGCTGTGTTACCATTATGTGCAGGTGGCCACTCTCCCTGAACCTTCACTGCACATCCACCATTGGCCTGCGTTGCGAATCTGCATAGGAAGGCTCTCAGTTGAGGTGAGGGGACGGGTCGAGGTAAGATGTGATGAGGTGAGGTTGGTGACCAGGGAGCGGCGCAGTCGTAAGGAAGGCATAGCCTGCGATCAGCGAGGGCTCGTTCACCCACCCCCTCCATCTACCACTGGAAGGAACGTCGTGGAATGAGCCGAGAGGCCGGGAAGGCGCAGTGGAACAGTCCTCTTACGCAAGTAGCTACTGAGAACCGCGCCCGCTGATCCTCGATCCACATGAATAAGTACCTAAGGTAGGAGGAGGTGCCTCTCTTTGGGCATCAGGTTGTTTGAAGAGAGCCCGGAGAGTAAAAACCATGGAAGTGCAAATACCATGACACGCGACAGGCAATGGCAGCGACCAGGACAGTTGGCCGCGGGTCCTTCTCCACACCGTTGCCCCTCCAAGGCTACTGCCGAAAGCCAATCGCCACGGCGCGCAACCCTCCACTAAATGCGCTGGAAGAGCTCAGCCCCTTGCAGTTCCACACGTGGACGCCTTCCTCCTAGAGTCGACCGTTGCTTGTCTTCCCGCTGAGACAGCCAGCCGCTGGCTTCCTATACCCTCCCCCGTCAGGTGATGGCGCTCGGTACCCGCACCGGGCGTCCCGCGTGGCCCAGCCGTTCGGAGCCTTCCTTCTCATCGATGTGCAAAAATCACCGACGAACATGTTGTCTGCTTCAACGATAGATGGGTCCGTGTAAGGAGGATAACCGACGCCAAGGCGCCAAATCCATGCTTGTCGGAGGGTTACGTTCTCATCACCGGAGATACCGGCCGACACGATGCTTCTCTGCTGATCTCGACATGATCATCGTGGCTCTCTGCTGCGGGCTTGTGCTGACGGCCGAGCAATCCTGGCCGCAGGCCGAGCCCTATTGGACGGGCGGGTGCGTCGTACGAGGGTTCGCAATTTCAGCTGCAGTTCGCCGGATCCGGCGGGTTGTTTGTTCTGGGACGGTACTGGCGGGGGATCGTTAGAGTGACTCGCTCTTGGTTTTAGGTTCTAGGTTCTCGGTCCCGTGGCGCGTTTGAACTTATGCTTCGTCTGAAGACTGGGGGTCTAATGAAGGGCCCGACATTCGTGAAGGAGGCGCCGACTGGCATGGGAGTTTGCGGAAGTCATAAAGCGATTTGACCTGTTGGGCAGGTAGGTACCTGGATCCAGGTACGAAACGGCAGTGAGTAAGCGGCCAAGGGCATCATGTCACTCCGCCTGGGCCGCCACGGCCCCAGAACACCAAGACATCCAGAAAACCACAGTCGGGCTCTGGTCAAGGGAGATCGTGGCTTCCATTCCGCAGCCTGGCGAACTACCTGTTTGTAAGAACTCCTCGTCACATTACTTGTCACCATGCTCTGCAAACTGAAGCGCCCACGATGCCCAGCAGCAGCAGCGCACGCGTCTGGTCTCCGTCTATCTCGATCATGGAAGGCTCAAATCACGACGACGCGGCTTCTAGAGTTCCGCCTGGGTCCATTCCTTCTCTTCAAAAGCCACCCTCGCACTGGAACCTTTCTCTCCCCCACCCTCGCAAGGAAACCCAACATTGTCGCTGACGTTCTTGCAGTACCACTTGTTCAGAAGGCTGTTCCTACCCTCAGTCCGAACATCCCAATCTTCAATCGTCACGTTGTTACAACCGCCCGCTCCGGCGCTGCACCTGAACCACCCTGCTCTATCAACTCCCGCGACTGTCGTTCCCTTGAACCGCCGCCAGAGGACGTCTGAGATCTTGAACCGGGAAGTGTCACACTCCTGGCCGGCGTGCCCGTTATGCGACTCACACTGCCAGATGTGCAGCGGTGTCGCACGCATACCGTCAAGCGTGATGTCCTCGAGCACGACGTTTCGCGCGTGGCCCGTCCCGCCCCCGCCGCCGTTGGGCGGGTACCCGAGCTGCCGCCCTGTCCACGTCTTAAAGTAACACGCCCGGCTAACGTTGTGCATGGTGACGTTGCGGACGTGAAAGTCCTCGATGTGCTCGTGCTGACCGAGGAACTGGCCCATAGAGCCCACAGCGATGCCTGTGCTGTGCCAGAACTCCGAGTCGTACACGGAAATGTTGGTCGAGTTGGCCTTGACGGCGATGGCGTCATCGCCGTTGGCTATACGCCAGCGCCGAAACGTGATGTGGTCCGAGTACATCGTGTCAGCGCCGTCTGTGTTGAGTGTGTTGTGCTCAGAGCGCGACGTGCTGTTGACATAAATGTCTTCGAGCAGCACGTGCGAGGAATGCTGGATTGTCATTGTCGACATCGGGGACTGCACGAAGCGCAGGCCCTTGAGCACCGAGTCGCGAAGTCCCTTGATGTTGATGTTCGTCGGACGGTGCGCGAGGTTGCCGCGGCCTCGCGCCCAGTCATACCAGACCTGGCCGTTGCCGTCCATGGTGCCGGAGCCATGGCCCTGCCATACAACACGGTCACCACCAAAGTTCCAGACTGTACTCTGATTTTGAAAGTCGATGGGCATCGACACGGAGAGCCAGTAGTCGACATCATTGGACCATAGGAGACGACCATACTGCTCGATAAAAACGTCCTCCAGGTTGGTTGTGTTCATTGGTGTGTTGATATGATACAGAGGACTTGGCAAGATGATGATGCTCTTGTACCGGCATTTGTGGTTGAACGCCTCGAGAATGGCAGGGGCATCGTCGCCACCATGAGGATCTGGCACGATATAACAGACTTGGCGGCCTTCGAGGGCCGCCTTTTCGATCCAGTAGGCCTTTGTTGGCACGCGAACCGCTGGCAGAGGGTCATGGGGAAGACTGGGAAGGATCGAAGGAGAGAATCGGAGGACTGTAGCGGCGGCCGAAGCCGCCATCAAGAGGCTTATCGGCAAACGATGCATGGCAGTGATTGTGACCGAGATATGCCAAGACGCTGACGGTGTTGATCAGTCGGTTGCTGATCCGACAATAGAAAGCTTCGAGGATTGCGCTTCCATTTGTGTCATCCTCAGACCCATTGGAAGAAAATGGGAGCGACTGGCGAAAAGCTTCCTACTTTACAGTTCCATCCGCCGCTCGAATTGCTTTAGTCAAAGAACCTCGTTTACAGAAACCATCTAAAGTTCTGCCTAAATGCACCTGCCCTCTGTGATTCTCAGGGAGCATACCACCTAGAGCCCCCCATACAGCACTGACCCACCAGCCATCCCTATCATTGCTGCCCTGTCCGTCGAAATAGCCATAGGTGATGGCCCTGCCTATAGTGCCCTTACCTCCAGTCACCCAAAGCTGCATACCGAAGAGCCCCCTTTTGCGACGTTGGACATCTCCCTTGAATACCGAACGCCGCGCGTCATTTGTTCGTTCCCTCAAGAGACGGTCAATCCCTTCAGTCCCCTGCGCTCTTCCTCGGAAGTTTGACTGAAACGAACCATTACCAGAATGACCAGCAGCAGCGATCGCTGAAGGAAGTGAAGTCTAGAGAGCGGAGGCGCAGGTTGAGCTGGCGGGACGTCGCTGCCCGGGCATGTCCAAAGCACCTTCCAATTCCCCCAATTAACCCCGCACTTGTCGATCAGCAACGTCGTCAGGTCTTCGGATGCTGTTTTAATCGGCAAAGAACCACGTTAGGAAGACATGTGCTTATTCAAACCAAGCATTGACCTACAGCCTTGGCATGACCTTTCCTGGGACATCCTCAATGCGTGTCGAGTTCATCATATCTAGATGAGATGGCATTCCACACAGGTATTTGGACTCTCTTCCCACCAATGACGTCAGAGATTCATGATCTCCTGGCCGCGAGTTTACCAATATGCGAGAATCCAACTTGTGGCAGCAGCTTCATGCACGTATCAGAGCATTACCCCGCGGCATCACGCCGCTGGGAACGCGTCTGCGTCCTTACACAACCTCGCGTTCGTCGACGTCAATCGCCAAAGCTCCATCGAGGGGCCACAAAACTACAACCACTAGACGATGGAATACGACACTATTACCGCCAATGACGGCTGCCGCCTCAGCTTTCAGACGAGCGTGCCTCTCCTAGAAGCACAAGATCAAGATGCCGCCATCGTCTTGATGCACGGCTTCAGCGGCTCAAGTGAATACTTTGTTCGCAATTTCGCCTCCCTCTGCCAGAAGAACTGGATCATCGCGCCCGACATGCGAGGCCACGGCCGTTCAGGTCGCACCACTGGTGGCTACCATGTCGCCCGTCTTGCCGTTGATCTCCAGGAGCTTCTGGCGCATCTGAAAAAAGCCGCCCCTGGGGCTCGCTTCTTGCCCGTCGGGTGCTCCATTGGCGCTGCCGTGCTCTGGACCTATGTCGAGCTCTTCGGGCCTGAGGACTTTGCTGGTTACGTATTTGTTGACCAGGCCCCGCTGCAGGATAGATCGGCCTTTGGTGCGTGGGATGAGTCCAGAGCCCACCTCGGCTGCTTCGACGAAGCATCTATGCTGCGAGCCCAGAAGGCCTGGATTGAGGACACGGATGCCGCTCACAGAGGCCTTGCGGAAGGCTGCCTCGGCTATGTCCACGCTCCTGCCCTCGAGGATCAGATCAGTCCCGAACTGCGGAAATTAGACATGGATTTCTTCACCCAAACCAGCGCACAGTGCGACCCCGTCTGGCTGGCGAGGCTGCTCGCAGATCACACGCGGTATGACCACCGTGAGGCCATTGAGCTTATTACGAAGCCAACGCTGGTCATGATGGGGAAGCGCACCGGGTGCTTCCCGCTTGAGGGCATGATGGAGACGGTCCGGCGGGCTAACGCGAGGAGACCCAACTTGGCTAAGGCATCTGTCTTTGACTCTGGGCACTGGCTTTTCTACGAAGAGCCGGCTCGCTTCAACGACGAAATTCTCCTGTTCGCGGCCGAAGCTTTTGCAATCGCGTGAAGTAGTCGGCATATAGGACAGCGAATGGGCATGCTGGTCGCAACAGATCACTCGTATCTCTCGCGACGAGTCTTATTCATATCATCTCTCATATACCCAAGGCTTCTTACACCCTCGTTCTCTGCTCCCTAAACTATTTCGACTCTCATTCGTCGCACACTGCAATACGCATTCCCCGAGCCGTTTCTGAGATGCCGTGCGAGGGAGTGATATGGACTTCTCATTCCTAGCAGCAAGCACTTCACCAGCTGCCCAACTTGTACCATTTCCTACAAACAACACCCCAACCGTCGATGCCTTTTCCCTCTTCATCCTTTCACCTGGGAAACGTACAACGCATATATCGCAGGGTATTCTTAGATTTGAAACGCCCCCCAGGCAGTATCCCTGCCCAGAGAGCCTTCGTTAATGTACTTCGGCTGCGCCGTGCCCCACGATTCAACCTACAATCTTGACTCACTCCGACCAACCTCAATGAAGGATTTTATCCACAACAGACCAGCTCACCACTACGATGCCACCCACATCAGCAAGCAACTGCACTGATTTGTCATCAAACAAGGGCGATTGGTTTAGTGGTATAACGTCTGCTTAGCATCAAAACGAGATATCGTGAGATACTATCTGCTGAAGGTCGCGCGTTCGATTCGCGCATTGTCCATCCTTTTTGCTCACAAGCCTCCTGATTTTGGAGGTAAGGATCTCGTTCGTGACACGTATTCTCATTCATATGTTCTTCCGATCGGGCACAACCGTGGCATCTTTGCCCTATTTACCGCCCACTATTTACAACAAGGCAAGCACAATCCTGCTCATCAGCGCCTGATAGCCAACACTACGGGCAGACCGTTCCTGATCTGGACGCAGACTTGGCCCGATCCATTCGAGGTGTAGGTACCGGATCCAAAAACATCATTCCACGTCGTGTTCGGCCTCTGCGTGTTGAAGCAGTATTCGCTGTTGCGGCTCGATCCATAGTTCGTCGTCAGCACAACGAGATCGCCTCCGGCACGGCTCCACGCGTATGCGTTGGTCCAGACCTGCAGGTTGACCTGGTCGTTACCGCCCAGACCACCAGCGTTCTTCTTCGCACGGTTGAGCTTGGCAATGGCCTGGTAGAGATTAGAGTTGGTGTTGAAGCCACTCCTCCAAAGATCCTCCCGGTTCGCAGGGTCATTGCCGCCGCCGTAGCCTTGCTCAGTACCATAGTACACGATGGGCACGCCACGCGCCAAGATGACATAGGCGAGGGCATTCTGCAGTAGTGTCTGGTCATTCTTCTGGTTGAGCCAGCGCGGGTTGTCGTGGTTGTCGAGGAAGGTAGCCCAGGCTGTGGGGTCGCTGACAATGTTGCTGAGTCGGTTCTGCATATCGACGAGCTCCTGAGGCGATGCACTCTGCTGCTGGTAGAATCGGTTCATCGGGTAGTAGACGCCATAGTTCAGAAGGCCGCTCATGAAATTGTTGTAGCCGGCGAGGTAGTCTGGGTTGCCGTCAAAGACTTCGCCGAGCGAGTAGACGCCTGAAGCCCAGGTGAAGGGCGCCCAAAAGTCCTTCTCAACATGCTTGACCGTATCGATGCGAATACCGTCAAAGCCAAACTCCTCAACGAGCCAGGCGATCCAGTTCTGGAGCAGGGTGCGGAGAGCGGGGTTGCTGGTGTTGATATCCGGGAGACCAGCGATGCGGCAGTTCTCGACGCTGTTTTGGTTGTTATAGTTGATCTGGCAGTCTGAATGGTATGAGCTGGCCTGGTTCAGCGGCTCCGGGCGCAAGTTGCTGATGGATCCCTGGCCCATGTGGTTGGCGACCACGTCGACCATAACAAACATGTTCTGCAGGACCGTAAGCAAAGGAAGCGCTACGGGGAGAAGACCTTCAAACCTTTGCGTGTGCAGCATTGACGAGGCTCTTCAGATCATCAGCAGTGCCGAGGTTGGAGTTGATCGAGTACAGGTCCTGGGCCCAGTAGCCATGATAGCCTCCAGGGGTGTCTGAGGTCCTTGTCAGCATTGGCTCTGGGTGCCCCGATGAATGGGGATTACTCACTGGCAACGACGGGAGTGATCCAGATGGCATCGAAACCCATGCCCTGGATGTAGTCGAGTTTCGACTGCAACCCACGAAACGTGCCGCCACAGTAGTTTCCGAGGTTCCCACATGCATTGCCGCCCGTGTCAGTGCTGCTGCGAGCGATACGGTCCGTCAGGACGAAGTAGATACTGCGCGTCTTCCACTCTGCCGTGCTGGCAGCCTGGACGCTCGCCACGAGCTGCAGTGCCGAGACGAACAAGGCCGCAATCCGCATGATGATGGTGATGCCTCGTCGCTGATGGAATCCGAGTGTTGCCTGATGCGCGAGTCGAAGCCTGGCCGTCCTACAACTTCAATCCTGAACGATGATGTACAGTTCTTTTTGTAGTCGTGACGCGCATGATCCACGAAGATGATCACGACCCTCACTGATCGGTACCAAGTGATGGCCTGTCTCAGTCTCCCGCTCCCGCTCGCCGCCTTGGTTCCTCGTCTTGGGGACCCTGCACTACGACCGAAGTACGTCCATGGAACCTTTCTTCATACGCTTAGTTTCCGACAACGGGCCGAACCCCAGGTCGAAAAGATGCATGGCGAAGGGGGTAGCCGTTTGGAAGAGCGCGCCATCTTGGGGAAGGTAATGCGGGGTTTTTCTGGGGAGGGGCGCAGATGGCTCGGGACCTGGCGATGCTGAGTGCCGAGGCGGCGCTTCCTCGCCGATCGACAACGCATGGGGGGCAGGCCTCGCTCACTAGCCTGGAGGATGGCGCCCACATGGTGTTCACCCTGGGGGACTCCGAAGGGGGCCTTTTGGCCTCTGCTGAACCCGCGAGACCATCTCATGTCGCAGTCGCATGTGCCGTGGTGGTGTGTCGGTACGCATTCTATTGACTTGGGGGCGGGATTTCGTGACCACACCAGGGGGGGCCCATGACGCTTTCAACAGCCGCATCCGACGCCGTGCGCAGCTGTCATATGTCAGCTTTCAGGAAAAAATCAAAGCACCCCAGAGTGTCAGGAAATGCAGACATACGTCAGAACTCCGCTAGGCTCCGGCGCCTCTGTTCTGCTTCAGCCATGTGACCTGCAAGGTTGTCGTGTCCCATTTGCGATTTCTCCCTCACGGACAGATGTCCCGAATCGACGGCTTCGATCCGGCCTGGCCCCCCTTAAGCTGCAGTCGTGCGATCATGAGCCGAAATAGGGCTTTCGCACAGAGAAAAGAGAGAAGTTGAAAATCAAGTCCCTGGGAACACATCGGAATGATTCAAGTTCAACAAGGCAAGCAGTCGTGTGATTAGAAGAGTTCTTTTCCAGGACAACGACGAGGGCTTGATATTCGGGTCGAATCCTCTGGCCCCTGATACGCAGAGAGCTTATTCTAGGATCGGCAACCTCGTTGAAGCTAACTGGCCTGCCTTGGCGCTGAGCTCTACGGGGCCAAGCCATCGCCCAGAGAGTCCAGGCTCTCTCTCGCGTTGATTTCCGACCTACTCCTGCAGATCCCTCGCCGAGACTCAATATGCTGCCGAACGACGATGGAACCTGAATTCTCGAGTCGTCAAGGGAGTCTTGATGCTGCGGTGAACGATGAACGCGTCATACTTGCCAGCACCGACATGGAAGAAGGTCCAGTTCCAGAACACTGCTGCAGACTGTTGCGCAGCATTTGCGCTCAAGAATCAAGGCGGATCGATACCTTCCGCGAGGGCCATGAGGTCGGCCGACATGACGCCGAGATCTCCACGCTTGAATGCGGCCTTGCGGATGGCGGCTCTAGATGTCAGCTAGTTCAACGATGAGGCAAGCGGCGTGAAAGACTGCGCTCTTGGCCATGAGTAAGGGTGATGGCCTCGGACCGAAGCCAGCTGTCTCTTGAGAATTAAGTCGTGATTCAGTGAACGCACGATGCATGCATTTGTGACATCCAGTGACATGTTCGTGGAAGGGAGCGGAACTTGTCTACAAGCGTCAAGCACCTCGATCTACGAGAACAAAACGATCCGGCGAGATATGTTCAATGCCTTTCATACCTCGATCGGCCCGCCTCTGAAGAATTCAATGAGGGTTCCCGGGCTGTCACTTGTGGGCCGGCGTACTAATCGGCATTTGTGATGGTGCCTCACATAGCAGCAAGACAAATCTAGATCATTAGTATCGAGATTCTGGATATTATTCGTCTGAACCCCGTTTGTTGACATGAGCAGGGTGTTGGTCAGATGATTATCCTACTGCTTTGTATGCAAGCTTGTACAGCAATTATTATTGTCCGCAGTCCTTTCGTGCACGATTGGGCCTCTAAAACTGGTATGTTCAGGCATGGAGGATGCATCCGAGAAAAAGGATATTGGGAGCAGGAGACCCGAGACGAATTCATACAGTTTGGTCTGGGAAATCTGCCCTCAAAAAGGTTTCCCGGCTACTGCTTTGCAGTTTGCCGACGATAGAAGGTGCTGATGCGTGCGTGTCAGGAGACCCCTGCGGAGCCACGGATCAGGGTCTATTCGGGGGCTAGGAACTACGAGAACGCGTATATAAGAGCTTCGGAAGGCCCCCTAGCTGCGTAGGGCCAGAATTTAGCTGGATTCCGACCCCATGTCTATATATCATTGCCTGCGGACCACGAGTGGAAGACCTTTTCACTCTGCTCTACCCATGCACTGACAGTGCTGCAGCAAGTAACCGCGAAATTCTGCTTCATGGTGCTCCCGTTGAAGATTCCATGTTATGATGTATCCTGAGTCTGTGATCATACTTTGGAGCTCAGAGTCCACGGACCTGCACAGTATGACGTGTCTTCTCGAAGGACTGCATCAACGGCCATTTGCTAAGAGAGACACTCGAGTATTGATCCCGAGCGAAGTCACATGCCCAACTGACATGGGTAGTATCGCTTGCCAACAGGATTTAGCTTTAATCGTTCCTCTTTGAAATTCATCACGGCGGTAGAAGTACGCCACTGGTATGTTTACTTGCTCGCGATTGGCGAATTTACGGCCTTTTGCCGGATCTGAGTAACAGTACATGTGGTCGTCGTGAGTTCGCTCCAGTCAACCCTGGCAGTGAACTAGGGAAGTCTTCCAAGTTTGGGGAGTTGAAGACTTCCAATATTTCCAATGTATCATTGATTTTACTAAACCAACCGGGACGCGCAATTTGATGCTAAGTCAAGTGGTTTGAGTAACTACAAAAGCATGATGTGCGGATGAGATGCGGCACCTGCGAATTAGCTTTGATTGAGATGGCATCCCTCATTTCGGACTTGCTCCAGTGGCTTAAATTTCTCGAGAAAGGAGGCGGCCATGGCTTGAAATTGTCGGCAACCTTGCTCTACGTTCAGGTGGCCGAGGATAGTGCCACGTTTCTTCGGTGCAAGGCCATTATTTCGACGAACGGTTACACAAAAGTAACTCGGGAACTTCGTTCTTTTAGTCGATATGGCTAGCTAGTTGACAACCTCCCAGTTCTCAGCAATGACGTCCATGATAACGCCGTGGTCCTCGGTCTGCTTGAGGCCGCTTACGACCACAACGGCAACGACGCCCTCGACGCCGGCGACGCGGATGGGAACTCCACCGCCGTGGATGGCGTAGGTGGATGCCTGCTCGGGGCTCATGGCGAACTTGGCGGCAAACGCGGCCTCGTCGCCGGAGTACTTGAGGGAAAGGAAGTAGGAGCTGACGCCCCAGCGCAGAACACTGTTCCGCTTGCGCGCGACCCATCGCTCGTTATCGGGCATCACGCCGCGACCGGTGACGGTCTGGAAGATGACCTGCTGGGTATTCGCCAGCGCAATGGAGATGAGAGTGGGCTGCGTATCGGCGATGGGATGCAGGCGAGCGTGGAGGAGGTGGCCAAGCTCAAGGGCATCCACAACTGAGAAGGAGTCAAAGTGATAGGTGTTGCCATGCTCCTTCAAAGCGTCGACCTGGGTATCTGCGTAAGCATGGATTATAATTTGAGCTGCGCGGCACGGGTGAAAAGCCTACCGTTGAGGGCGGTGCTGTGATGGGAGCGGGGGTGCCGGGGTTGCGGAGGACTTCGGACAGCACGGCAGCTCCGTGCCCGGCAGCATTCCGACGGCGAAGGACTTGCTGAGAAGACGACATGATGGCGCTGAGAGGGATGTGCGTGGTTTGTTGTTATACGATGGCTATGCTGAACCGTCCGAGAGAGAGAAGGGGTATTCACAGATGAGCGAGTTAATGAAAAGCTTCTTCTAAAAGCCACACTGTATTTGGCTGTTTTGCAATGTCATGTCAGCATCTCCACCTTTTGAATGGATTGCCCTCCCCCCCCCACAAGGCGACGGGAGGCGTTGATCTGCTGCGCGGCGGTCGAGGTGGCCGGATTCCGGATCCAACTTTTTGCTTGACGAATGGATCTGGATCTGTGACATGGGTCTCGGGCATGGAGATGGGGATAATGCCTTGCCCTGCCAACATGCTGGGTTATCCACTCAGCCTTCCACCGGCACATCGTGCATCGTACATCATTTGACACGCAAGCCTTGCCCGAGGCTGCGAGATCGACAGCGAAGATCAAGGTGTGGGTATGCGTGGCAGCGCCCAACGTGAACAGGATCATGAGGGGGACAGTGGAAAGGGAACGCCTAGCCTTCTGATGTAAGGCCCCCTCAAAGTCCCGAGATTCCATCCCTTAGTGCCTAGGCTTGTACTACGCTTCCGAGTAACATCATCGCTCAATGCCAAGTCTCTGTCCCCTCACCGAACCGTTTCCAGCCACCATCCGCAGTCGAACCTTGATCTTCTCCAGCAGCCAAGATCAACAGGAGCTTACCCATGGCGTCAAGCTTCCCCTCATTTCTCCCAGCCTCGACTTCTAGCTTACTCTTAACTCTAAGTTCAAGCTCAAGGCAACCGGGCCCCTTGGCCGCACCACACTCTCATCCGTCCTCCAACGTCCGCCCTGTCGAGCTTTGGCGTTCGGCGTGACCGCCTACGCCCAATGAGGCCAGCGAATCTGTACGAGTATGTCGCGAAGGATTCCACCCGTTACAGCCATAACAGCGTCATCGTCGCACGACGCTAGCCCCAATCACCGTCCTATCGGCCACTTCGGGCGTCATCTTTCGACCATTGACGGGCCTTGCCGCCCACACCGTGATCCCCACCATGCCTCAACACGCGGGGAGAGGTAGATTGTTCGGACGTGAAAGCACGTGAAAGAGAGACAAGAGCTTTCCGCAAGGCGTTTCTCTCCAATTGCTGCATCGGAATTCGGGGCGAATCCCAGCCCATCCCGCGTGTCCTGCTGCTGGCGTTTGCCCAGCATGTGCCGTCGCTGAGCCTAGACGGGACGCGAGGCGCACTTGGTCTCCCGTTGCTTGTCTTCTGTTTGGCCGGACCTTTCGATCCAACGCGCATCACCAATCTGGGATGACGTGCAAGGCGTCTTGGCCGTCAGCGCGGGGAAAGCGTAAGCTTGGTCGGCTGCCCCGGGGGTTGGTGATGAAGGGCAAGCTTATAAGTTTTGGAGATCCTCGTGCTCTTGCTCAGTAGCATGTGGTAGGCCTCTGCGACTCCTCGGTCTGTTCGGATCTCTTGTTCTCGCCATTCGAGGCATTGAAGACGCCTTGTAGCTCTTTGCGACTTCCTGAAGATTGGGTGACCTGTCTGATCTCTCCTCTCGCTTACTCCGTAGCACAGACCTGCCCTTCCCCCGAACTTCGAGGAAGCTGCTCGTCCCAACTGTTCAGTATGCTTTCATGCACATTGCCTGTGGCTGTTGCCCTCCTGGGCATTCAAGCAGCTCTTGGCCGCCCCATCCAAGGACTTGAACGGGCTGAGATCGAGGAGGCGTACGACTTCATCATTGCTGGAGGTAAAAATCCCTGCGCACTACCAAGTAGTCTCGAGGATCGCTGCTGACGCTTTTCAGGTGGCACTGCTGGCCTCGTGGTCGCGAACCGCCTCACCGAGTCCGGCAAGCATCGCGTCCTCGTCCTCGAGGCTGGACCCGACCCTAGCATTGTCGCCGCCTACAAGCCTCTCGGAGGCAATCAGCTGCTCGCCGGTATGCTTCCATGGGACAATAGACCGATCGGCATTGACGAAGAATAAGGCTCTGCCATTGACTGGCGATTTGACACTGTGCCCCAAGAGGGCCTCGATGGCAAGATTCTCACCTACTACCGTATGTCCAACCCACCCTCTCCATCAATGCATGTCGAGGCTGACCCATCTAGGTGGCCGAGGCCTTGGCGGCAGCAGCGCCATCAATGGCTTCTACTACGGTCGTGGTACATCGACCGTCTACGACAGATGGCAAGATCTGGGCAACCCCGGCTGGAGCTGGGCTGATGTATACCCTCTCTTCATCAAGGTATGCCAAGACGGCCTCATTTGCTAGGAGAGCGAACGAAGGCTCACGGGTATAGGGCACTCACTTCAACCCTCAAGACGAGACCAAAGGCTTCGACAACACATACAAGACGTGGGACCCATCGGCCTACAGCGACGGCCCTCTCGAGATCGCTTACCAGGGCTACGTCCCGCCGACGGGCATTGCCTTCATGCACGCCTGTGAGGCGGCCAACATTCCGATCGTGCACGACTACAACACGGGCAACAGCACCGGAGTCAAGCAGGGGACAGCCACGCTCGACGCCAACCTGCTGCGCAGCTCCAGCTACGACGGATACCTGAAGAAGGTCATCAATCGGACCAACCTCGACGTGCTGTACTATGCGCCGGTACAGAGGCTGCTGTGGGACACGGAGGGAGAGAAGCCCCGCGCGACGGGTGTGCAGTTCCTTGATCATCCCTCCGGACGCATGTACCAGGTGCATGCGGCCAAGGAGGTCGTTGTGTCCATGGGCGCTTTCCAGACGCCGCAGCTGCTTATGGTTTCGGTATGTCGCCAGTCTGCGATCGATGTCCTTCAGAACTGACATGTGACGTTAGGGCGTTGGACCAGCCGCAGAACTGGAGAAGTTTGGAATCGAACCTGTCTACATCAACGAGAACGTCGGTCAGCAGTGAGTGACAGTGACCATGCTCGACATGGCAGCATTGACTGATGATGTCGCAGCCTCGACGATCACAGCGTCTTCAGCATTATGGCAACGGTTGCCGACGAGTTCTCGACAAGCCAGTACGCCGACTTTGACCTGTTGCAAGCCATTCAAGAGGTCAGTGCCAATGTCTGCTTCGCCTCGTGGTTGACCGGGTACTGACGCCTAGCAGGAATTCTACACCAACGGCACCGGAGTGTACACGGCCCCATCGGGCATTACCAACGGGTTCCAGAGACTCCCTGAAGAGGAGCTTCGGGACATTGGCGCCGGCGCCGTCGTAGATGCCGGTCTCAGCGACCAGTCTCACATCGAGTACCTGTTCGAATCCATCTTCTACCCCGGCGGGCCGACCCCATTCTACACGCCGCTCGCCAATGAGTCGTACATTTCCTTGACAGCGAGCAGCATGGTGGCTCTGTCGCGCGGCAACATCACTCTCCGGGGGACCTCCATGTCTGCCGCACCCAACATCAACCCCAACGTAAGTACCCCCCAACATCTCACCTTGAGACGCTTGCCTTCGGTCGGCCTGGAGAAAAGGGAAAGCAGCTGACCAAAACAGTACTACACGCACGATGCCGACCGCGCCATCGCAATCCAGGCTTTCAAGTACCTTCGCAAGATCCTCGCGCACCCAGAGCTCGCCAAGTTCACCTACGGCCCCGACAACGGCGAGGTCAGCCCCGGCGCCGCTGTCAGCTCGGACGACGACGACGCCATCTTCGAGTATGTCAAGGCCAACACGATCCCCAACTGGCACGCCTCAGGCACGGCGCGCATGCGGCGCGAGGACGACGGCGGCGTCGTTGACGCGCGCCTGAAGCCGTACGGGATCGATGGGCTGCGCATCGTCGACTGCAGCATCATCCCCGTGCTTCCAGATGTCAATATCGTTGGGCCTGTGTTCATGATTGGCGAGAAGGGTGCGCAGCTCATTCGCGAGGATTACGATGACTGTTGAGATGAAGACGTTGACAAGGTGATGGTGCAGCATGTTTGAAGCAGGTGGTCAGGTTGGTGATCGGATTTGGATAGTTTTGCGTAGCCTGTGCTGGATGCTCCCGTGGATGAATCTTTATCCCCCCCTGGAGCGAACTCCAGCTGTTGGGCGCAGGAAATAATGGATAGTCTTCTCTGCAGTTGTCGTGACTGGCTTTGTACCATGAATTGACGTCATGGACTCTGAACACCCTCCATAGTCGAGGTCATGTCATGGCGTGTCATCGTGCCATCACAATGAAGCCTGTCGATTCCATTGTGTACCTTATATTGGGTTTCATGACATTCTTAAATGCCCTCCAATGCCTGAGACATCACCATCCTCAACCACACAGCACATCCACACACACAGCACCATGCCTTCAGCAATCGTGACCGGCGCGACTGGTAAACCACCCTAAAGCCCCAGTCTCCCGAGTAAAGGCTCAAAAGGTCCCTCTGTACCGAAACTGACAACTTACTAGGCATCCTCGGCCGCGAGATCGTCAACCGCCTCGGCGCCAACCCAGACCAATGGCAAACAGTCTACGCCCTCTCGCGCTCTAAAAAGGGCGCCTTCCCCGCCAATGCGCAGCACAAGTCGATCGACCTGACGGGCTCAGCCGACGACATGGCCGCGAGCCTCGAGGGCGTCCAGGCCGAGTACGTCTTCTTCGCCGCCTACCTGGAGCAGGACACGGAGCAGAAGGCCTGGGACGTCAACGGCGCCATGCTCGAGTCCTTCCTCGCGGCCCTCGAGCGCACCGGCGCCGCCCGGTCCGTCCAGCGCGTCGTCCTCGTCACGGGCGCCAAGCAGTACGGCGTGCACCTCGGTCCGCCCAAGAACCCGATGCTCGAGTCGGACCCCTGGCTGCGCGACGAGGGCCGGTTCCCGCCCAACTTTTACTACCGCCAGCAGGACGTTCTGCGGGCCTTTTGCGCGCGGACGGCCTCCTCGTCCGCCGGCGGTGAGGGCGCGTCCTGGACCGTCACGTACCCGAACGACGTCATTGGCGTGGCCAAGGGCAACTTTATGAACCTCGCCACGGCGCTGGGTCTGTATGCTGCCGTCAACAGGGAGATGGGGCGCGACCTCGCGTTTCCCGGGTCCGAGACGTTCTACACGCGCTTCGACTCGTTCACGGATGCGAAATTGCACGCCGAGTTTTGCGAATGGGCGGCCCTCGAGCCCAAGGCCGCCAACGAGGCGTTCAATGTCGTTAACGGCGATATCGAAAGCTGGCAGAACATGTGGCCCAAGCTGGCGAGGCGGTTCGGCAGCAAGGTCAAGGAGGACCAATTCGTCGGCGAGGGCGAGGACGCCGGCTCGAAGAAGCTCAACGACCCATCGCCCCTCAGCATCTTTGAGGCTGAGTCGGGTCTCAAGGGCAACGTCGAACCGGGCAACCTCGAGTACAGGGTTGATCTCGTCAAGTGGAGCCAGCGTGACAGTGTCAAGGAGGCGTGGGAGAGGCTGGCTGAGCGCGAGGGCCTCGACAAAGAGGCTTTCGAGAAGGCGACGTGGGGTTTCTTGGTTTTCATTCTGGGCCGGGCCTATGATCTCGTCATCAGCATGAGCAAGGCGAGGGAGATTGGATGGACTGGGTGAGTTCTCAACTCAGACTTCCGGGATGAATGATTGCTCGTACTGACATCTTTTCCAGGTACAAGGACACATGGAAGGCTTTCTCCGACGTATTTGGGCAGCTGGAGGCTGAGAAGGTTCTGCCCAAGACTCACTGAGGGTAACACGACGCGCAGCAGAACGTCTTCGATTCGAGGCTGGTACCATGATCATCTGAGACAATTTCAGGAAGTCAAACGGCTTTCTGTGATCAAATGGGTATCACCAACCACGTAGTTCGCAATGAAATCAAACCCAAAACTCCGTATCCTTCGAACCCCCATATCCACACCCATGCCCATTATTTTGTTGCTTCAAAATGAGTTGCGCCAGCTCAAAGAACCTCAAAGATTTCATCCACCACAATGCTTTTTGTTCCCCCAAACATTCAAGAGAGGGTCTTGAGCTGCATTTGTGCCCTCTCTTCGTCAAACAGCACAACTACATCAGTATGGCCTCTGTTGGCGGCAAGGTCGATCGGCGTATCGCCATCAACGTCCACGTTGTCGAGGTTGGCACCGTTATCGAGCAGAAGTCTCGCGATGGCTGGGAATCCTCCATATGCCGCCATACTGAGGGCCGTCCAGCCCCACCGATCTTTGGCGTTGACATCCATGCCCACATGGATCAAGTCGGCCACCTTTTGCAGGTTGCCATCGCTGGCAGCCTCAATGATGGCAGTGTCTTTGACCACGATTCTCTGCAGCAGCCGACTCACGGCCATACGTCGCTTCGGTTTGACGAGCGGCCAGTTGGGTGCCTCGCCATCCTCTGGCGTCGGCAGCAGGCTGTTCGTACGCTTTAGCTGAACCTTTTGTTCAAAGTCCTCGTTGGCGGCGCACAGAGTGATCGTGCTCGGCCTGCGACTGCCGCCGTTACTTCCGTACCCTGAATCCGTAGCCGAGCTGAACGGTCCAAACAGCGTCTGGCTGCTGCTGCTATTGCTCGTCATGGACCGGCTCGAGACGGACGGTTTTCGGTTTGGTGATTCAGTGTCAGGTACGGACTCGTCGAGTAAGCCGTCGGCAAGGGCTTCCTTCATCCATTTCACGATGTAGTCGCGGTTCTCCTCGACCACCGCCGCGCTGATCCCTACGTCTTCGAGTTCTCTGCGGAGCTCATTCCAGGTCTGCGGCGAGTCGAGCGTCTCGACCACATCTTCGACGGTGACGACGGATCCCTCACGAAGTCCGGCTTGGACTTCCATCATAAACTTGTTCAGGCGCTTCTCGATCCTCATGGTTGATGAGCTAGCGGGCGTCGAAGTCAGCAAAGAAACGACGACAGGGCACGGAAGGAACGGCGGGCTCTCACTTGATCAGCGCAATGTTGAATGCGCTCAGCATGGTTGTTGATGAGATGAGGCGCGAGCGAAGGTCGGCCAGCTCCTGGAGTCCGAAGCGCATGCGGTCCCATGTGCGCTGTGCCTGGGTGCCGAGGCTGTCATACCTCGTGATGAGTGATTCCAATTCGTCCAGAATGGGTTTACACGCATCACACAGCATGTGCAGGCGGTTGATACGCGACGTGTCGAGGTCGGTGTGCTCCTGGAGGTAGTCCTCTGTCTCTCTCAACACGGCGTGCAACGACATGAGGTCGGTCGACACCTGCTTGAAATCTTCGCTTGCATCCTTGTAGGCTTTGAACAACTTCCAGGCTAGACCCGAGACGAGGACAACGTCCCCGATTCCCACACCGAAGCTCATGCTGATGGATGAATTACTGGATAAAGAAGGTCGATGTCGAGTTGGACACCAAGACGCAGGCTGGTGGATGCGATGTGGTAAGTTGTCGCCACTTTGCACCAACGACAACGGAGGATCGGCCAGTCAAAAAGGCTAGAGGAGCACGCAACGAAACTATGTTTGTCGACAGGTGCGCCCGATGAACATGGTCGCGGTGAGAGCCTCAGCGATAGTGATGCGAATGGGGCGTTTCGTCTGGCGTGTCTGCGGCGAGGCAGATTCGTAGCCTTTATGGCGGGCGTTTTCCCCTTCCAACCCCCTTCCCCTCCCCGCCCATGGCCCAGCATGGGTACCACGAGCCTCCGTTGTCCTGGGTCTTCGGGGTGGTGCTCGTTGAGGAACTCGGGCTGAAGATCACTGGGGACGGGTCGGCTCGTTCACTGGTCGGAAGGATCATAAGGCCCATTATGTTGTCTAGACAAGACGAAGGGGTTGCATGCCCTGGTGCGTTGTGGCGTTGAAGCGTATTCACAATTGGACTCGTCTCGCGACACTGACAGGCTCCGCCTCGGGCAACCTGTCAGGCGCACCCGCTCCAGCGCAGCTTCCTGCAGCCAGCGACAGGGAAACGGCCAGCCACCAGCGCTTGCCGTTCAGCCTTTCATGCCTTCCCTAACCATCCCCTCGTCGCTCGTTCCTCCCCCCTCAAACCGGCCCCGGGTTGCTCTTCCCATAAGGTAGATAGAGCTGAAGAAATCCTTCCACCCTTCGCCTCCTCGACACACAAGCCCACCCTTCCACCCCCCCCCCCCCCGGGACCGTTGATCGTCTGCCGCCAATATCTTATCTTACTCGCTGACAAGCCTCCGGACCTGACTCCCCTCCCTTCCCCCCCAGAGCACACTCGGCAACCATGTCCCCGCCAACAGACACCCCCCCTGCTGTGCAACCTCACATTGGAATCATCGGAGCGGGTGTTTCAGGCCTCCGCTGCGCTGATGTGCTGCTTTCCGAAGGCTATCAGGTTACCATTCTCGAGGCTCGAGGCCGCATAGGAGGCAGGGTAAGCTACCCGTCTCGGCTGACCGCGAGCCTTATGAGTTGCCAGCGCCGTGGCTGAGACTATTGGATAGATTTGTCAATCAGATGAACTCGGATACACAGTCGATATGTGAGCTCTAATAGCCCAGAAAGCCTTATTTGCCTCTCAATTTTGACAGCCTGTGTCGAGAGCCTTTCCGTGCTGACCCTGTCTCCTTTTCGTAGTGGGCCGAACTGGATACACGCGCAGACCGAGAATTCCGAGCCACACGCCATATCCCGCCTGGCCGAGGACACCGGAACGCCTATGCACAGCTGGAACGACAAGCAGCTCATATTCGATTCCAATGGCAGCGCAGTACCTGCCGACACGACGGAGCGACTGTCGACCCTGTTGTGGGAGATAATCGAAGAAGCGTTCAACTTCAGCGCCGATGCGCAAAAGGGTACCTCAACCATTGACAACGACGCTTCTCTCTATGACTTTATTCGGGACCAGGCCAAGGAGAAGCTTTCCGACGAAAATGAGCGGGCGCTTCTGCTCAAGATGAGTGAAATGTTTGGAGCTTACATTGGCGAGCCGGTGTGGCGTCAGAGTCTCAAATTTGCTTGGATGGAGGAGTGCTGCGGAGGAGGTGCGTGACTGCCGTCGCTCTTATTTGCCCTCATCTCTCCCCACCCATGCATGCCTTTCTCACTAACAAACACCAGAGGAGCTGTTTGTCGAGTCCAACTACTCAAAGATATTGGAAAAGATTGCTCAACCCGTCGAGAGCCGCGCCCGTATACTCTTGAACACCTACGCCGACTCGATTTCCTCGTCCGAGGCAAGGGAGCGTGGCGGCAAAGTCCATGTCGGTACCAAAAACGGAGACTCTCTGGCTTTTGACGAGGTTGTCGTCACCACGCCGCTGGGATGGCTCAAGCGGAACCAAGACGCTTTCACGCCCCGACTACCGTCCCGCATCTCATCCGCCATTGAGAACATATCGCTTTCCCAGCTTGAAAAAGTCTTCATCACTTTTCCGTCTGTTTTCTGGAATGCAAAGCCCGAGTTGGACGATTTTCCCTGCTACACCAACTGGCTGACACCAGAATACGCCGAAGGCTCGAACCCCCAACACTGGCCTCAGGAGATCTGGGACCTTTCCACCTTCAGATCGCCAAACAACCACCCGACGATTCTCTTCTACACTTACGGCGACTGTGCCAGGCACATCGTCAACGCCATTTCTGACATGTCGCGAGAGGATGAGCACGCCTTCCTAGATGAATTTTTCCGTCCATACTATTCTCGTCTTCCCAACTACAGTCCCGATAATGACAACTGCAGGCCCAAGGCAATACTCGCCACGAAATGGCTAAAGGATGACCTCAACGGCAATGCGAGCTACTGCAACTTTCAGGTCGGAGTGCAAGAAGCCGATGAAGACGTGCTGACCTTCAGGAGAGGTTGCCCGGATCGCCGGCTCTGGTTCTGCGGAGAGCACGCCGCGCCCTTTGACGAGTGTGGCACTGTTGCTGGTGCTTACTTGAGCGGCGAGGCTGCTGGCCAGAGAATTATCGCAACATATGCCTGAATCTTTTCGTCAGCATGCGAGTTCGTTTCGAGAATTCCTATCATACACGACTTTAGACGGCTTTGACGGCAAGAAGCAGGGGATACTTTTCGCTAGATTTCTGGACACGATGAGTACTCGAGAAGACTCGGGCCACGTCGTGGTGGTGGCCTTCCATGACAGGTGCCGAAGTGCCGGCAACTACAAGTACACGGCACGGATGGCTCGCGTCGCGAAACTCAATTGAGCAGGAGGTCTGATGCGGGAACTGTGATGGGGACTGGATCGGGTCATCCAAACTTATGCCTGACGTTTTTCAACGCGTGCCCGGCACGAGCGGCAGAGCTAACTCTAATTCACGAATCGCATCAGTTTGAGATGAAGCTCCTGGGCGCTCGGGTCACAGACAGAACGACTTTCCAACGCTTGACAATGCACATCCGCTAGGTTTGAGCTGCCGGTGCAAGAAAGTCTCGGTGCCTTGCATATCGCTCCTAGGATATGGGGATGAAGTGCCCTGATGCTCCTGCCCAGCCTCAGATCCCCCACACCCTCCAGAAAGGTACTCGGCGAGCATTGATCAGTCGCTCGTTTCATCAGATGTCCCCTGCGTTCCGTCCGGCAAGCGGACGATCTGGTTGTGAAGATTTAGCGTTCAAAACAGGCGTCTGGTAGGGTAACATGTGACTCCTGGCCGGCACAGTCGAGAACAAATACCTGGTGAAATTTAGGCTCTAAGATGCCGAAGCTATTTGTTTTCTGTAGATTTGCATTGTAGCCAGACGCTCCGTCTAAACTCCTGGAATTGTTTAAAAAGGCTCGCCGGTCCTTCATGGTCCACTCACCTCTGCTTTGGCCCATCTCTCATTCTAAACAAACCTGTTCACACCTTTAGTCTGTCGCCGGTCGACGCTTCTTTTCTCGACCATTCACGCACGAATCAGTCTTTTCCACTTCGGCTTTTCCCTGGCGATTATCACACACGTGCTTCTTTGCTTTCCGATATGGCTCGCCTTTCCACCCCGGTTCTCCTCGCCCTCTTCTCGGCCACGGCTTCTCTCGCCTCGAAGCAAGCCTCCGGCTCCACAGGCCCCGGTTTCGGAGCCCCCGGCTTCGGAGCTGCAGGCTCCGCTGCGTGCCAGCGCGCCGTCCTCTTGGCCGAGGGCATCAAACTCAACATTGACGACCAGAACAATGAGGTTTTGTCCCTGACCGCCGTCAGCAACGCCCTCAACGCCAATGACGCAGCCGCTTTCCAGGCCGCCAAGACGGACCTCCTCGGTTTCGTCAACAGCGGCATCGAGATGCGCAAAATGAACCAGGCCATCGCACCCGCCGGCAACAAGGCCATCGCGGGCCTCGCCATCGTCGCCAACGCCCAGACCGAGGAGCTCAACCTGTCCAACAGCCTGAGTGGAGACCCCGCTAACAAGGCGGCGGATCTCAAGACGGTTGACAAGCTGAAGGCTGACTTTGCGGGCGGGATCAAACAAAATATGCAGAACATGGCCGACGTGAGTATTTCTTTTGCCCCTTCTGAATAATTGGAACCAGAACGATGTGATGCTGCCGGGCTTTCGTAACATTCATGTGCTGACGTGCCTTGCTTCAGGCCCTTTCCGGCTGTGGAGGAGGTATGCCGCCTCCTGACGTTTTCAACTTGACGGCCTTCGCACCTCCACCTGCACCCACCGGTGCTGGTGCCAATCCGTTCCAGGGCAAGGGCTTTTGGAAGCTCTTCCGGGCGTGATCTGCGCCAACTACGATTTGAGTTAATGTGTACAGTGCAAGAGGAAAGGGGGGACAGGGGGGGGTCTAGCAGAGCCGCTTGTCATTTGCAAGCTGTATCATGCGTGTCGCTGTGCGATACGGAGCTGGTACGTACAAGTAACGGACGAGTCATCAGTTGGGGAACACTGTGTTCTCTTTTGTGGTTGGTTTTGTTTCACCATGAGCCTCTTGCAATGGAGACTGAGGCGTACACAATGCCTAGAATGTCAGATATGCTTGAAGAAACATAGAGGAAAGCTTGCATTGAAAGAAACGTTTTGATTAAATTTCAGATTCGGGATATGCCTTGATCACATGCCATCATTTCACACACTGCTCAGTAGGTGTACCTAAAGTTGTGGTTCTCGAGATCGGTGCTGTCCGTCCTGTCCGCCTCCAGTCCAATCTGGAGATCATCCTGCGGCTTGCCGTACTTCGAGTCACGCCTCTTGTTCTCTGCGATGCACAAAAAGTAGTACGAGATTCCCGCAAAGGCCATCAGTGCAAAAGCGCACAGCATGCTTCCGATGCCGAGAGGGTAGTGGGGAGCCTGCCGCTGCAGGTAGAACTGGGGGCCAACAATGTTGCCAACCGCTGGTGAGGCGCCCCTTGTTAGTGATGTGTCTCAACTCCATGTGATTGAGGGTGACATACCATAGACAACGGCAATCGAGATGCCCATGAAACTTTTCTTCGTGGCTCCGGCCGTGTTTGAGGACGACAGGCTCAGCATGAACACCCAGGGCACATTGTAGAAGCCCATGAGGTAGACGCCGGCCAGGGACGCGTTCCGCTGGGTCGCGGCGTCGAGCGAGTGCACCATGACGGCACCGGCCATGCCGACCAGGGACGAGAAGATCCAGAAGATGCAACGCACGTTGGGCACCCAGAAGGTGATGGCCGTCAGTATGGCGCCGCTGACCATGGCGACGGCCGCCTGGGGCGTGGCCATGAGGACCGTCTTCGTCCTGCTGAAGCCGTAGCCGGCGATGATCAGGGGGTTGAAGTTTGTGACGCCTGCGTTGGCGATGGCGTAGCCGAATGCGCAGGCCCAGATGCAGTAGCACTTTGGATCGCGCAGCGTCTCCAGAATCTGCTTTGCGCTAAAGGTCTGTGGCGGAGCGTTAGTCAGGGGCTCCTCGACGGCATGTAAAGCCTTTTTCCAAAAGAGGGAAGAAGCGACAGCCCTGGGGGAAAGACTTACCTTGTGAGAGTCGATGCCTGTCTGGTTCTCGGCAAGACGGACGAGAGCGAGCTTCTTCTCAGTTTCGTTAAAGAACCAAGCCTTGGAGGGCGAATCGGGCAAGGCAAAGAATACAAGACCTCCAGCGAGCACCGTAACTGCGCCATAGATGATGAAGATGTACTGAATACCAGTCAACAAACGTTCTGAGAGTTTGACTAAGTGTAATCACCTTCCAGGTAGCTAGAGACCCGTCGATCTGGCCGATAGCGTAGGACAGAATGCCGCCAAACACACCAGCAAAGGTGTTGTACCAGAATGCGGTTCTCAGAGGCTGCTCCTCCTTTCGATACCACATGGAGTTGACGATCATCATGCAGGGCAGCAGGGCAGCCTCAAATACGCCGAGTAAGAACCGGATCGTCGCCAGGCCGGCAAAGTTGTGGCACGAGGCCATGAAGCAAAGCGACGCTCCCCAAAGAACCAGGCAAACTCCGACATATTTCCCAATGGGAAGCTTGGTCATCAGCCACAGGTTGGGAAACTCCATGGCCAGGTAGCCGAAGTAGAAGATGCTGCTGAGCCAACTGTACTGCTGGCCCACCAAGTTGTTGTCTTCTCTCAGGCCGAACACGGCAGCGTATCCAAGCGCGTTCTGTACTCTCGTCAGTTTGACTGGTTAGAGTTTTAGGAAAATCACATACCTTATCGAGGAAAGCTAGAGTCATGCTAAGGATTGCCAGAGGCATCACAACCAGGTCGGTCTTGAGCAGAAGCCGACTGGCTTGGGCTTTGCTCAAGCTCTCGGTCGAATCCTGGTCATCCACCACCAGAACGGTTTCGTTGTTCCTCGGCTCCTTCTCCGACGACATGATGTCACTAATGTTGGAGGACACGGCGTTGGCTCGGAGGCAAGGTTGACAGTGGCAGAGCCGGCTCAAATTCAATTGCGGGGATCAGATGTGGTCGATTGGCGTTGAAGCCCGCACTTGTGCACAGAGTGAATCTCACAATCTGCAGGGTCCCATGGCAGCCTTTGATCCCAGGAGCTCTTCACATTTTGTATATCGCGTTTCTCGTCAAGGGCCGAATTGCGTGATGGTGTTGAAGCTCAAAAAGTGAAGATAGCTGATGACGTGACGGTTGGTTGGGACAAATCGGCCCCCTTTTCTCGGCAGTCACCGAGGATCATCTCGGACAGTACCGAGATAGCTACCAGCCCAGCAGCACTATGCTTCGTGTTCCCTTACATGGGATGAGCTAACGTTTGGACAGCAATCGCCTGTCGCAACAGGGCTCAACCAAAGAGTGCAAGGGGCAAGAAGGGTCAGTCGCGTTCTCATCCTTGGTGGTCGATCGCATTGGTAACTCACGCCACCTACCTCTGTGATCTTCATGGCGCATTATTTAACAATTGAAACATAACAGCTAAGTAGATGCAGATAATTAATTGTTTGCGATGTAAGCCTTTCCGCAGCCCTTCAGCAAGTGAACTACAGTTTGGATTTGAAGTTCCTGAGATCCCGTGTTGCTTCAACTTCCGCCGTGATCTCCTCCCGACTTCTACTCACATCTTGAAACACGAGCTCCGCATAAAGCTGCTGGATCCTCTCGGTGATCACACCCCTCTTGCCGTCTCCAATCTGTCTCCCATCCACTTCCACGACATGCAACTGGGATGGGAAAGTCCCCGTGCAAAACGCCTCGTCAGCTCCGTACACCTCCGTCAGGCTGAAGTCCAGCTCTCGCACCGTGATCCCATTGGCACGGCATACGTCGATCGTCTTTTGACGCGTGATACCCTGCATCTGATTGTCCTTTGTCGGGGCCCAGACCTCGTTTCCTCGGATGATGAAGAAGTTGACCGAGTTGCATGTTTTCACGAATCCCCGAAGGTCGAGCATCAGTGCCTCGTCTACGTTCATGACGTTCGCGCTGATGCAGGCCTGAACATCTGTGGCCTTGGAAATGTGGTTCCACTGTTCATCCTTGACATCAGGCGGGCCTCGGCGCACCCAGGTCGTTGCGAGGCGCAGACCGCGAGCCTTTGACGTCGGATCGATCGCCTTGACCTCGGGGATGATGACGATAAGAGGCAGACCAATGTTGACATGTGGGTTTTGGTATGGCGTCGACTTGAGGCCACGGCTGACGACCAGACGAATATGAACATGGGGTTCGTCACCCATTTCGTTGGCGTCAAGCGTCTGGTGCAACAAGTCTAGCAATTCGCCTTTGGTCAGGCCGAGATCCATGAACATGGCTCTGGCTGATTGGAACAAGCGGTTGATATGCTCGCGCGCGAACTGGATCCGCCCTCTGTTTGCACGTATCCCCTCCTTTCAAGACTCATTAGGCAAGTTCCGTCGGAAGAAGATGACAACTTACCCAGATGCCATCGCCAACGAGAAAATTAGAGTCAAAGACCGACACTACAGCCTCTTTTCTCGGAGTCAAGTAGAATTTCCCTGTGACGCCATCACGCATGCCGACCTGTATCACTGTCAGCTTTGGGGCTGCCTACGTTCGAATGTTTTCTATTTTACCAAGATGGAGTCGTTCTTCGAGTTGGGTACCACCGCATGCGTCGACGCAGCGTTGCTGCTGTGAGATGCCGTTTCATGATTTTCATCTGATGAAGTCATCGTGTCTGTCAACTCAGACGGAGGAACGCTTGTTCAGCTGTGAAAATTGCGTGCTTCCTGGAAAAGCACTCTGCGGCCTCGAGAGATATAACGAAAGCAAAAGAGCTGTATGGTGAGAACGGGCGACGCCGAAGTCGTTCGATACTCCCACCTGCGTCATACTCGGTTGAGACCGACGCTGTGGAGCTTGACCAAGAAAAGACAGGGCACCATGTTTGCAGAAATGAGCCACCTTTGACACTAGGTCTAGACGGAGCATCCTCACTTCAACCACGAACTTGTTGCAAACACCATTGAAGCTGCTCGGAAATGCTCAGTTCGTTATCTTACGATCTTCAAACTATCGCTCCTCCGAGGTGTTCCGACGCCACCCATGAACACAATGGTTTCCTTGACGCTACCCTGGCCTGACTCGCGCACAGTTGAGAATGAGGGGTCACAACGAGCATCAGCACGCAATCCCACGGGTCTCGTCGTTCTCTGACGGCCCCTCGGTCTCGTCCGAGCCCCCAGTCGTTTTATGTCGCCCAGACATTCGCCCTCTCACGGCAGATACCGCCCAGCTGGCCAGTCGCCACATTCCATCGACCATGGATATCGACTGGAGCCTAGGTTTCCAGCCTTCGTTTTCGAAAGCATGCAGCCGATGCCATTCACGGAAGGTCAAAGTAGGCGGCCCAGCACCTCGCAACCACGTGGGACTTTTCCCTCCCTGGTGACCACGAGCTGACCCTCACCAATAGTGTGATCAGCGAGTGCCCCGTTGCACACGATGCGAGAAACAGGGCGAGGAGTGCAACATCACCGAGTTTGTTGCATACTCTTACGCAACCGTAGGAAGCTTGCAGGCACAGATTCGTGATCTACAAGCCAAGCTGGCCATCGCGAGTCAGAATGCAGCCCCGAACCACGCGACCATCACGGTCAGCGAGGCCCAGATCGCGATGCCGGCGGCCCCGCCCCCGCCTATGCGGGCCGGCCAAGCACCTTGGGTGGGTGTCGGGAAAGAAGCTGAGGAGGTCGGGTTCCTAGCCATTGGCGGTCGAAACAGGCACTCGGATGACAAGTACGGTATGTGAACCAGGACGTGGCCCCTGTCCGGCATTGCACGTGGCTGCCGCTGATGCCATGTCTCATCGCAGTCGGCAGTGCAACGGGGTCAACTTTTGCTCGCATCTTCTTCAAGCAGCTTAATCTCGTTGCCCCCGCCATGACAGGTCGATATGGAGACAGCCTGGAGCAACCCCCATCCGAACGAATGGCCTCCCTACCTGCGCAGGCCATCGCAAGTTTCCTGCTCAGGCAGTATATCGCCCGTGTCCACACGTGGTGGCCTGTACTTCAGCTTCCCATTCTGCGGCGGACGTTCCGTGCTATCTACGAGGACCATCGAAAGTGCGGCGATGCGGATAAGTTCATCGTCTTCATCGTCCTCGGTCTTGCGAGCAGCGAGTCTCAGGACCATAAGGAGTACCAGAGCCTGATGGATATGAACGAGCCACTGGCATACTTCCAAACGAGTCTTCGGTTCTTTAAAGACTTCCATGACCACCCGCGCGATCTGTTTGGCATTCAGGCGGTGATACTGCTCACGATCTGGATGCTCAACTCGGCATCAGGGAGTGATTGCAACGACCTATGGCACTTATCGAGATATGTCATGTCAGCAGCGATCGAAGCCGGCCTTCATCGCCACAACACAGACTGGGGATTCGGCGCCGAGGAGCTCGAGATCCGCAATAGGACCTGGTGGTGTGCCTACAATTTGGAAAGGTAAAGCACGAAACCACACGTGTCATGCGCAAGACTAACCGCCAATGCAGACAAGCAGCCGTCGTCACAGGCCGTGTCCTCTCAATACGAGATCACGCCATACACGCGCTGATGCCAGTGCCCCTGAGCTTCGATGCCTTGAGCGGCCCCGAGGCTCTGGTTGCGCCAGTCTACCACAAACACACAGTCAGGCCATTCAGCCTCATGATACGCCTCCGCCAGATATCGGGTCGTATCCTGGAGTCGATCTACATCGGCAGGGGGCCCGATGGCAAGGCGCTCGCGACGTCATTCCAGCAGATTTGTACCATGTCGGACGAGTCGCGGCGGGACTTGACGCAGTGGAAGCAGCACCTTGATGAGGCAGATCTCAAGCCCTCCCGCGAGTACTCGGAGATGAAGATTGAGTACTGTATCCTCCAGCTCCTGCTCAATCGACCAAGTCCCACGTTCATGGTACCCTCGAGCCCCATGATCGCCACCTGCTCAAAGGCCGCAGCGAGCGCCATTCACCAGTGGTCCAAGATTGAGGCTCGGTATGGCATCTCGGCTGTCTGCCGCTGCTTCAGACAGCTCCATGCCATTCTCCTGGCGGGCTTGGCCGCACTCTACTGTGATTGGTAGGTCCTCATGGCACTTCGATTCGATCCTCACGGCACAAAGACAAAGAGCTGACAACAGTCCTCTTACTCCCAGGCAAGCCATGGCTATGGCAAGAGAAGCCGGACCAACGACTTCCACGCGCAGACATCGCCACTGGAATGACACAGCGACATGCCTTGACCTGCTAGAGCGCGGCATTCCGCAACTCAAACTCACAGGCCTCAACAAGTACAAAGACCTGCTCCAAGCCGTGAGGAACAAGGTCTATGCCGAATCGATGGCCCCGCCACGCACAGCAATCACACCCCATGAGTCATTCATGGGACCCGAGTCCCTCGACTCCATGTCTGTAGGCAGCATGGGCTACGACGCTGGCTCGAGCCTGCTGTTCGCTGAGGACAAGGGAATGGAGACCTACCTGAACCAGGTTACGGGGTTCTTCGACGGGGGCATCATGGACATGGACGAGGCACTGAATGCTTGGTATGGCGCCGTCATGGAGGAGATGCAACCGATGCAAACGGGGTCGTATGAGCAACGAGAGTAGACTCACGACTAGTGACTCACGACTAGTGTCGTCCTGGCCAGGTCATCAACACATGCCGGCCAGCTAACCCTAACCCCCACCAAACAACTGAGAAGTTAAAAAGAGGCAAAAGAATGTCTTTCACATCGAAAGACCTCCCGGTGGGACTCGAACCCACAGCCTTCGGATCAGAAATCCACTGCGCTACCATTGCGCCACGGGAGGATGATTGTCCTGGCCGGTAACCCGCATGCCTGATGTTGCAAGCTCGTCGGTGGACCTGATGGAATGGCTTCTCGCGACCCTCAAATCACGACGGCCCGCCAAAGAGCGGCACGAAACACGAATTTTTATCGTTTACAAAGCGCATTTTAGTTTCGTGCTGGTATCAGCTACTTCCTCGTGTAACTGCTGTAGCGAAGGCATCGTCATGGACGAAGACGTCTCACCAACCCAGGCACTTCCGACGGAACCAGTGCCCACAAGGCTGAAATCCCACCCAGTAAAATGCAGTGAACTACAGCGGGGTCATTTATCCCAAGGCCATGTGGCAGTCATTTAGGAGGTATTTCCTGCATGATATTTGAGTTTCGAAATGACTCGTACCCGTTGCCAGCGGGCCCGCAGCACAGCAGTCCAATATCAAAAAGAAAAGGGGGTCAAGATCACTCAACATGGGCGATCTTCGATCTCAGCTCCACAACACCACGAGCCCTGTCGTCACTCGTCCGTACACGCAAGACGTCCAACGACTTACAAGCCCATGTCACATCCACCCATCACAATGCAAAGGCACGCCGCAGAAGGATCATGAACGGGGCCAAGCCCCACATATATTGTACCAAGGCTCATCCAGTGCCTCTCCAAAAAATATAGCTATATACACCAACGTGAAACACGTGAAAGTTGAAAGTCTCTAATTCATACAAAGAAGTTGTGCGCTTTCTTCGCCTGTGCCTATCGTTTGTCGCCTTGGCGCGACAGCACAGACGGGCAGCACCGTCTCTACGCACTTAGACAGTGTACGCAAAGCGAGCCTGGC